GCATAATGCTAAGTTGAACAAAACATCACCTGAAATGGGGGCAAGAGAGCAGGAATCATGCTGCAGGTCACGCTATTGAGGTTCATTCATAGATATCAAAGGAGTTCAAGAAGACAGTTCCAAAATAAAGGTGAATTTCAGGTATCTCTAAAATAATTACCCTTGCCTTTGAACCAGAAGGTGGCCTTCTGATTTTATGCACTATATGAACGTGTCATTACCTTTAGATTTGCCATAAAAAGTTAAAATGAAAGGACAATTTTTTTTAAATGTGGTTTCAATGTAAGGACTATAAAGTGAGGAGTTGTCTGTTTTGAGGATGTTACTGTCTTTTTCCAGGTCTGTGGAAGTTTCTTTTTGAGTACTGGTCTGCAGGGTTTTGTGAAAGTGACGTTATTAGTTCCTTTCTTCTGGTCCTCTTCTTTCAGACATTCCTGCTATTCTTGATGCAGCATTATGGAAAAGTTGGTCATTATTGCCTGGGAACAGCTGAATTTGTTTTCAGTCCAATAGTAATTCTGTTTAATTCATCAAGTTCTAGATCTCTAGAAATGAACTTTTGAGTGCTTTGTGAGGTCTTGCCTTTTGTTCACCAGCATCTAATTTATAAGCACTGCACGACCAAGCACTGGGAGAGCACTAAAGTCTATGGAGTTGGAAGTTTGATTTGGAAGAGATTTGTCAAGTGAAGAATGACTGAAAATTTTTTGTAGAGTAGAGCTCCAGAGGGTAGGAGACAATTGGAGTATATGTGGTTTACTGGCTTAAAAAATGGTTAGCAGCTGTTTTAAATTTCCTGCTCGAGACCAAGAATGTGGTTCTATCTCCTGATGACTTTCCTTCTGGGTCTCTCTACATGTAATGTTAATGTAGACTGTTTTTCACTAGTGGTGTTTTTGTGTGTTATGTTAATGTATTAAGTTATAGAATATCACTGCTATAAATTATAGAACACATTGTCTGAAGGACTAATTAATATCTTGTATCTACTACTATCAGGCAAGTTAATAAAGTCAGGGGAAAAAATTGTGCTGTAACTGAACAATAAACAGGTAGTTTTCCTTTTGCTTATAATATCCAAGTAATCTAAGCTTTCCCATGGTAACTTCATCAGAGAAGTTAGCAGCATGTGTATCAAGTTGAGTTTAAGGTTTTGAATCTTTTTCTGGATGATTTTTTATTACCAATACTAGCAACAACTGGAAGTCATTTAAAAAGTAAAAAATGAGTAATAAGAATTGTCTGCAGAGCTTTAATGAGAGAGATTGTGATTTCCATTGGTTAAGATCAAGTCATCTAGCTATTTAAAATGAATTCAGTATATGTAAAGTTGAACTCATGAAGTGTCAGTAAATATAGTTTGTATAACAGTCTGAAAGATGTTTTTGTCCTAACCTTAATGTAAAACTCCTTTTCCCAGTGACACGGAAAATTTTATAGCTTGTTTTCTCTCCCCTCCATCCTGCTGTCGGTTGTTCATGAAAAGCTGTGTGATGTCTTTTGATAATTATCCTCTGTATATTCATTATAGACAGGAGAAATATGCTGAATGCTTAAGAGTGGAACTAAGGAAGTGATATTGGAAGAGAAAGTTTAGATTTTACTTTAGACAAGCAAGTTTGATATCTGGAACTTTGTTCATTGCTAAACAATGCAAGAAAAACAAACAAGTGTGATACTGTTTTTCTTCTGTAGGTTAAAGAAACTGTTTTCCAGCAGTCTTACATGTCAGATTAAGAAGGTGGTTCCTGAATTGAAATCTCATTTTCAGTTATTAGTTTTCTGTTTTTGAAGTGTTACATAGCATGTGAAGCTGTGATCTAAAAGATATAGGATTACCTGCTGTTAATATACTTTCTAACAGTTCAGATAATAATCAGCTAAAAGCTGTCTTCTAAGTCTGGTCCTGTATTTCAGTTATGGAAATTTCATTGTGTTGCACACTGTGCTGGACTAAGGGAGGGTAAGAAATGTTAAGTAATTATCTTCCATATCCTTGCAATATAGCTAAGAAATATTGTGTCCATTTCACAGATGTAAAGCTGAAGAATAACAGGTAAGAGTTCACTGAGATCAGATCTTTTCTGGAATGCATTACAAAGAGCGTGACTAGCGAGTTGAGGGAGGTGATCTCCTCTACTCTAGTGTGACCACATTCGGAGTTCTGTGTCCAGTTCTGGGCTCCTCAATTCAAGAAAGACAAGAATCTTCTAGATAGAGTCCAGTGAGGGCCACAAAGATGATTAAGGGTCTGGAGCACCTCCCTTACAAGAAAAGGCTGAGTAACATGGGTCTCTTCAGCCTAGAGAAGAGAAGGCTGAGAGGGGATCTCATCACTGTTCATAAATTTGTAAAGTGTGGGTGTTGAATTGATGGGGACAGACTCTTTTCAGTGGTGAGCAGCAGTAGAACAACGGGCAGCTGTCGGAAACTGGAACACGGGAAGTTCCATATGAATATGAGGAAAAATTTCTTTGAGGGTTACAGAAGACTGAAACAGGCTGCTAAGGGGGTTGTGGGTTCTCCTTCTCTGGAGATATTCAAGATATCTGGATGCATTTCTATGTAGCCTACTGTAGGGAACCTATTTTAGCAGGGCAGTTGGACCAGATTATCTCCAGAGGTCCCTTCGAACTCTGGAAATTCTGTGATTTTGAATGAATGCCTCTGAAAAGAAGACTTGTTTATTTTATGGGATCTTTTTAAACTGATTTCTTCAGGACATGTATCCAATTTTTGTTTCTGAAGAAAAGATTTCAGCTGCTCTGCTTGTCTGCAATTTAAACTATTTAGGTTCATTTTCTTCCTACTGAAGTGACAATTCCTGCCATTTTGGCAAATAACAATAATTATAATCAGAAAGCATATCTTGCAACTGCTTTTTGTCAGAGACTACGTACATATTGGATACCTCCCCATCTAACATTTGAAATATTAAATGTCACTGCAAAAATTATCTTGTATGTCATATGGATTCTTTTGGTATAGATTCTGTTGCTTTTATCTTATCTATGTATACAAACTATAGTTTGGCAGTATTTCAGATTTACTTTTATCAGCAGTTCAAATAAAATTTTGTAGTAAAAGAAAATTAATTACCTCTAGTTGAAGGAGGATATCTGTTAGTCAATTTCAAATATCTTTTTGCAAACTTGATTCAGGAGAATGACATCTTTTGGTTGAATATCTGTGTTATGTTTGTAAGAAGTTTTTCTTTTTGTGAACCATGGCCTATCCAAGCATTGGGTATTTCATACTTCTACATTTAAGATCTCCAGGATGTGATGTCCTGAAACAGTTAAGTGATATGAAGGGTACTTTAAAACTACATTAACAGATTGAAATGAAGTGCTCTGAGGTTATTTATAAAATAAAGAACATCACCCACAATGTGTCTGCCACAGATGGAATAAATGATTTTATTGACAAGTGTGTAGACCATTGAATAAGTTTATAGACAAAAAGTCATACTTGAGAGTGTTAGAAATCTTGTCTCTAGTTCTGAATGTGAATTAGCTTAAACAGAAGCGTAAGTCCTATTAGACAGACAAGGCCTTATTGCTTGTGCATCAGAAAAAGTTAATTTGATTAGTTTTTCTAAGAGTGTTCCTGACCCATTAGCTAAATATCATGATGAAATTCTAACTTGTGCTTATGACAGGGATGAATGTATACCACAGTTTTTCTTGCAGAATTAATGCAATAAGCAAATGTGCCATACCTAACAGGATTTCAGCAGAACTGGTGCTTGTTTTGCAGTCTGCTTCCAGACTCTTACGAGTACACTGTTTTTCGTGTCTTAGTGATGTTATGCATATATAGACTATCTAGACTATCCATTCCATTAAGTCATGAGAAATAACAGAGACTAAAGCTATTTTCTCTGTGCTCAGTGAGACGAGAAATACCTATACAAGTTAACTTTTTGAGGGAAAAGGCAGGTTTTTATTCTTGCAGTATCTCACGAAAGCCAGAAAGAAGCGTTAGAAACTAACTGAACACTTGAGTTCATCACATCTTCACTGAAGGAAGAATATGCTTATATTCTAAAATACCAAAGATGAATGGTGATCTGCTCTTCATTTGTTGTGGTTCCAACTGTGTTGGCCATGTTGCATGGGCAGATATTCTTATGCTAGTAGGTGGTGTGTTGCCTATTTAAGCAGCCTGTTGTGTTTCTCATTTTGCAGTAGTAGTTATTGATAAAGTAGTGAAGAAAAGATTTAGGCTTCAATATGAATGTGAATCATTTTAGTGTTTTTATACTTTGTGTATTGCTTGGAAAAATAGTGCTTTTTAATAATGAACTGAGTGCAAATTAAGTTTCTGAAAACTCCATTGTTGTTTCAGCCGTGTGTGTACACAGATTGCTCTGTGTATAAAATTGGGCTTAGAAAATGATTATGTACAGTATGGTAACTTTATTGTGCTGTAACCTTATTATTTTGTAAGTGGGTTTAAGTAGCCAATATACACTGCAATTCTAATAGTATGATTAATATTAATAATACAGATAATGTAAAGGCTGAGAGTAAGAGGTGAAAAAATAATTAAATGTAGTAGGTAGCATTGTTCCATAATGATTTCTGTTTTTGAGTTGCATTCAGATTACAAACTGGATTTTTAATTGCTCTAACTGGTTAAGTGTAAAATTAATTTTAATGTGACTTATATGAAACTTTTATATAGTTAAGAAGCAATTTAAAATCCCCACTGGTTATTTACGTTTTGGTTTCAAGCTTGTGATAACATTTTATTGAAGTTCTTTGATATTGCACCTTTTAAGAATGCCTCCTTAAAATAAATTAAAATACTGATGTTAAGGGAAGATACTTATTTTATGAATGTTTCAGTATGGGATTTAGATGCTGATTATTAAGTACTCCATATGTTTATATATATATAAAAATGTACAATGTCTCTTTTAAAAGTAGTTCAAGAAGTACACAGAGAAAAACATTGTGAGTAATAAGTGTTTTGTCCCATCTACCTTTTGACAGGAGAATTAGATGACAGAGAACAGGCAAAGCTGGAAGTAAAAATATGGGATCCAGATAGCCCCCTTACAGACCGTCAGATTGACCAGTTTTTAGTTGTAGCACGGTAAGATTAAAATCCTCTAATGAAAAAAGAATCCTTTTCCTTTTTCTACTGATTATTTATTCCCCTTTATCGTGTAACTCAACTTGTTTACCATATTGTGAGCCCTTCTGTTTCCCACAGTTAGCTAAAAGAGAAAATCAGAACATAAACTTCTGAATATTTATTGAGTTTACCAGTGCAGAAGAGAGAGAAAAAGAGTGAGTTGTGCTAGACTGCCTGTGTTTAAGACTGTAGTGGATTTTGATATTTAAATGTAGACATCATTCTGTTTTGCTATCAGAGTAATTAGAAATGGGATTTCAGTGTTAATATCTGTCTTGTACTACAGTGTTTTGAATTTCATGGTGTAATATAAAGAAGAAATAAAGAAGGTGTAAACAAATGCAATGAATGCAAAACTTGCCAGATTTACATATAAGTTGACTAATATGCAGTGCAGTTATCTCAGTTGTGAAGTGATGCTTTTTATTAGTGGAAAAAAATTGGTCAGTTCAGTTTTGTAGATTAATATATGATTATGTAAACTAATTTAAGGCCCATCGAAGCCCTTGGAATTCACAAATACCTTTCAAAATAATTTCTCCAGAGTTTTTGACAGATGTTAGAAAATGTTTTTACTGAAGGATGATTCTACACTTGCACAATAGAGCATGTTACTCTTATCCTTCAATTCACAGGAATAGATTACAGAAGTTCTAGTCTCACTTAGAAAAATGCCAACAGAGTACTGTTGATTGTGACTGACATAGAGATGTTATCCTGATTTGTTCTGTTCTTTTTTCTAACCTGATTGCAAAGCATATTCTCAAATCTTGCTAGGCAAATAATCTTTTAATGCTGTTTCCAACTTTTGTTCTTCTTTTATCTCTTTTTTAAAAAACCGTACCAGTGAAGAAGAAAAAACAAAAGAAGAAATTGCTTTATACTTTCCAGCTTACGTGTGTAGTGAAATGAGTTGCTGATTGACTATTTTACTCTTCCAGCTTAATTGGAGTCTCAAAATCATAGGATGACATGAGTTGAAAGGGACCCACAAAGAACATGGAGCTGAACTCCTGGCTCTGCATGGGACCACCCAAAATTCAAACTTGATGAGAGCACTGTCCAGATGTTCCTTCAACTCCTGCAACTCAGGGCAGTGCCCACCTCCCAGGGCAGCCTGTGCTAAGCCCACCACCCTCTGGTGCAGAATCTTTCCCTACGCCCCAGCTGCCCCTCTGACACAGCTCCATGCCTTTCCCTTGGGTCCTGTTGCTGTCACAGAGAGCAGAGCTCAGCACTGCCCCTCCGCTCTCTGGAGCTGTAGCTCCATGAGGACTCCCCTCAACTCCTCTGCTCTAGGCTGAGCAAACCCAGGGATCTCAGTGCTCTTCACACACCTTGTCCTCCAGATCCTTCACCATCTCTGAAACCCTCTGTTGCATGCTCTCTAATAACTTATGTCCTTATATTGTGGCTCCCATACCTACACCAAATGCTGGAGGTGAGGCTGCACAAAGCAGAGTAGATAACCTTTCACCCAGATGACACTGCTAGGCCTGGGGCACCCCAAAGTACGGTTGGTCTTTTTGGCTACCAGGGTACACTGCTGACTCATGTTCAACTTGCCATAAACCAGAACATTCAAATCTCTTTCCATAGGGCTGCACTCCAACATGTCATTCTCCAGTCTATATTGTATATCCTTGGTTGCCTTACTGCGGGTGCAGAGACCAACACTTGCTGGATTGGTGATTGCTCAGTCCTTTAATTTGTCAAGATAGATATCTCTGCAAGTCTTCTCTGCTCTTGAGTCAACAGCTCCCTCCAATTTAACGTTACCTGTGGATTTATTTAGAGTACTTTCAAGTTCTGTATCCTTGTCACTGATAAAAGCATTGAAGAGAACTGGCCCCAAAATGGGACCACTAGTGACTTGACTGCCAACTTGATCTAACTGCATTTACTTTCGCCTTTTAAGCCTGACTTGTCAACCAGTTATTCACCCATGATATTGTGTACTTGTCTAGCTATCTGTTGGACGTTTTGTCCAGAATGATGCTGTGAGAAAGAATATCAAAAGCTTTGCTGAAATCTGGAACAGTTACATCAACTTCTCGTGATCAGTGGAAGATCTATGTCCTAAGATGAAGACTTACAAAACTGATTGTATGTCTTTGCAGAGTTTGTTCATTGCCTTCACATCCCTTCACTTCCCATTTTGCAGCCACTGTGGGGAGTTTAAGTAGTATACTGTCAAGTTGCAAATGTTCTCCTCTGGAAGCAATTGTGCCAGTAGGCAATCTACTGGGAAGTAATAGAACAAATGACTGAGATTTTAAGAGAGAATCTCTTCTTCCCCTTAGTTATGACATCATATGCAGTGCTGTGTATGCCCTGACAAAGTCTGCATTCATGTAGAAATCGATGAACTTCAGAGGATATTTTTACAGAGAGAATGAGTCTTGGTTATAGCTGCTTAACTGTTAACTATCAGAGACCTTATGGTAGGTGAATCACTAATGATGTCTGACTAACATCTTGTTAGAGACAGTTGCTTTATTGATGTTCTTCCACAAACTTCCACTCATCTTTGCTGCTTTTGAACTGAGAGGAACACTTTCCAAGCTTCTCTATATGTTTGCTTTCACAGGCTTCAAGATCAGAATTTTTTTTGTGTGGTTCTGTAACAGACTTACTGATTTAAAAAATTCACCTGTGATAATTATGGCAGCCTTACATTCAGTATATTGTGTGCTTGCAGGTAAAGGCTTTCATTATTCTGGACCAGTAAAAGTTGCTTGGGTATGGAATTGGTATTATGGTCTGATTAATCTGTTCCTGCAGACTCAGAAGATCCCTCTGCTATATCTTCATTGCAGTTATCTGGGCATTGGCTGTGCCTGCTGGATTTCCAGTGAGATGTTATTTGTCTTTTGCCTGGAAATTGACAGAATTTCAAATTTACAATAACAATAAGAACTTTTTTCTAAGCAATTTCTTATGTGTAATTTTGCTTAAGAGGGCATTTAAAAAACCTTTTTGTATGATCTTTTTTAAACGTGATGTCCTTGATGTATTCCCATGTGGGTTTTTTTCAGTCTGCTTTAGATGAAAGAAGAGTTACTCTTGATGTTATAGGCAACAGCTTTTTCAGTCACTCAAGCATACTTTATTTGTTAGACGGTGATAAAATACTCTTTTTCTATTTGTGTTGCCCATTTGCACGAATGTATATATTTGGCCTTGTGTATGTAGTCTGATGGAATTTGTTTAGTGTCTCAAGAGCGAAAAGCTATTTTTCTCCATTTATGTATCTCATAGAACCATAGAAACACCAAGTTTTAAAAATCAGCCAGTCCAACTGTACACCTACCACTGATATTTCCCCACTAAAACACATCCCTCAGTACAACATCTAAACATTTCTTGAATGTTTCCAGGGACGGTGACTTCACCACCACCCTGGGCAGCCCATTCCAGTGCCTGACTTCAGAGAAGAAATTTTTCCTAACGTCCAACCTGAATCTCCCTTGGTGCTATTCACTGTTGTCCTTTCATTAGTTACGTGAGAGAAGGGGCTGACCCCCACCTTGCCCCAACCTCTTTTCAGGTACTTGTAGAGAGCAATAAGGTCACTTCTGAGTCCCCTCTTCTCCAGACTAGACAATCCCATTTCCCTTAGCTGCTTCTCATAGGATGTGTGCTCCAGACCCCTTACAGCTTTGTTGCCTTTCTCTGGACACACCTTCATGGCTTCAGTTTCTTTCTAGTGAGGGGCCCAAAACTGAACTCAGTACTCAAGGTACAACTCTCACCAGAGCTGAGTATAGGGGGACACCTCCCTGCTCTTGCTGGCAGCACTGTTGATGATACAACCCAGGATGCCATTAGCCATTTTGGTGGCTCTGATCCTGTGAACTTAGTGTCCACTTGTATGTGATACTGGTGGCTATTGGTGGATACTAATCTAATAAAAGAAAAAAGGAAATAAATATTCCATGTGTTTAAGTGGAATTTTTGGTGTTTCATTTTCTGCTCATTGCATTTGCTTCTTTCATTGGGAACTGCTGAGAAAAATCTGGCTCCATCTTCTTTATCTCTACTGCGGTTAAATCCTCTCTGAGCTTCTCTTCTAGGCTTGATAATAGCAGGAATGTTTTTAGTTAAGAATACGCTTAAAGGTGGAAAAAAAACATGAAAAGTATAGTTAGGGTTTGGTGGCATAGGCTACTTTGGCTGAACAGTGAAATTTGTTTTGCTAGCAGGTAGGTATAGGCGATAGGGTGTCATTTGGAAATGAGCAGTGATGATTTTTTTCTTTTTAACATTTTTAAATCACTCTTTCATGGTAGTGTTAGTAAAAAGTCACTCAAGGAAAGAACATTAAAGGAAATGTATGGACTTGATATCAATATGCTCCTTGTGTGTGTATTTTTAGTGGGAAAACAAAAAAACAACCATAGCCAGGGTTTTCTGACTATTTTTAAATACTTAACTTTTCATTTTGACTGCATGGCTGGTTTATATGGAGGGCAGCATATTAGTGTGTTAAGTTTTGAGACTAGGTAAATATTTAACAGTCAAAGTTTTAGAATTTCTATTTTTTTTGGGTTGTCTGAAAAACTCCATCTTTCAGAAATTTCCAGGAAAGTTGACCTATAAGTTGATTTTTAAATACAGCTGCAAATGCCCCATCCTTTCTCCTTAAAACAACACAATGCCTGTGCTTTATAGCATTTCTGGGATGTTTTGCACTCACATAAACCATAGTCCAGCATAGCAATTAATCATGATTATGATTTGTCCTACTCAGTACAGCATTGGAAGTGATATCAACCAATACTTCAATTCTTATGTTTTTATCGCTTTCTTGAAATGAAACTGGTTCTATCACATCTCTTAATTTTAGCTTTATGTACTGGATAATGTCATCCATATATGCTTCTACCCTGAAGTCAGCCTGGAAATTTTGTAAGCAGTTTAATTTGATAGAAACTATTTTGTAATTTTCCTAATGTGCTCTGATTTTATTTTAGAGTTATGGTCAAATAAAGTAGTGTTAATTATGCAAGAAAAGAGATAAGCTAGTAGGTAGCAGCAGAAGGGAAATATGGTCATGCTGCATGTTGCCTTACAGGTTTGAACAGTAGCAACAGAATGATAACAACAAAGATTGTTAGCTACAATCCTCATCGAGGCCAAAGTGTTTAAAGGGGTTGATTGACTATCAGGATGTATGTTCCCAGTAGATTGTTGGGACTGATCTGTGGACAGATACTGATTTTTATATAGCTAAGTATTTAAAAAAAAAAAAAAAAGAAAGAAAGAAAACAGTGTGTAGATGTTTGTCACGTATTTGCTATCACTGTAAAGAAGGAGTAAAGATTACAGAACAGTGCTTGAATATTGCTTATTTACTCCACAGCCTTTAGAAACTGAAGCAGTTAATGTCTGCAATACGTGAATCACTGCTGTTTCAGTTTAATTGTGTCTTAAATGTTTTTGGTGGCATACTGAAAAGTGTTAAATGTTTTGAGATAGAGTATAGTGTTTCAGTAACAGATGTTGTTACCAGTGTCTCCACTATCTGTAATAACCCATAGTGAGTAAAACTCTTGATGCTTATTATTTTGACACTGAATATTAGGTTTGTAGTATGCAGTAGTCTGACGGTTTATGTATGTTGATGTCTGTTGAGGTTGACTTACTTTGTTGATATAATCCCACACTTGTAACTTGTGTGGGATATAATTACTGAAATTGGTTCCAGTCTTTAGTCCAGAGGTTTACACTATATTAAAAATGTTTGATACTGTAATTAGATCTTTCAATTTAGAGATTTGCATTGTCTTATATTTGGAGCAAATCATTTCTTCAAGTATCACAGTGCCACAATGCACTTTAAGAATGTTTTTTCAACTGTAAGGGTACTGGCATGATTTGTTTTATTAATTATCTTTCTCACATATCATTATATCTTTGCTCACTTCTGTGATGGGCTGAGCCCAGTCAAATTATTCCCGAGATCTTTCCCATCACCATGCATAATATCTGATGGATGTGCTCTTAAGAAAAGGTCGCAGTTCAGATATCACACGTGTTCTCCATCTCTGTGCCACAAAAAGGTAGAAGTTTGGAGAAAATCATGTCCCATTTTGGTAATCCTGCTATGCTCTTATTAATTAGGGTGAAGGATCCGCATGTTACTTTACAGCTGTGACAAAAGTATGACTTTGGAGGTGCTAACGTGTTTTGTTTACTAATAGAAAGAGCCGACACGTATTACTGAAGTGAATAAAATGTTATTAATTTCTTCACAGGAATATGTTGGTGAACTACGTTTTAAAATTGTATTATACAATAGTTTGGCTTTCTAATTTTGAAAAAGTTGTCATAATTGCAAAACACAAAGTCTTTGGCTTCTAAGGAAATAAGCTACATAAGAATGGGTATTTTTCATTTCTAGATGATTTCAAACAAGTTGTCTTGCATGTAGGATGTTACTTTTGGGGGAGAAGGTCAGAATTTTTACTGCAGTATTCAGTAGTTTGCCTTTACATAATTGGTAAAGATCTGAAATCTTAAGAGTTACAGTATGTGTCTTTTTATTATAAAATTATACCTTTGTGGGTATTGTATAGTCTGGTCTTTTAAAAAGAAGGTATAGGTCTTTAAAATCTTTATGCATTTACTATCTGTACTCTTTCTCTGTTGCAGTGCGGTTGGCACATTTGCGCGGGCATTGGACTGCAGTAGTTCTGTCAGGCAACCTAGTTTACACATGAGTGCAGCTGCTGCTTCCCGGGACATCACACTGGTAGGTGGCTTGTTAAAAACCCTACAGCTTTTCTACATCTGTGATTTCAGTAGTATGTTTTTAATCTTTGTCCCCTAGATGTTTGAATTCACCTAGATACCTGTGTGGATTATTTCCATGTATATGGTAGAAAATCCTGTGCATTTTCTGTAACCTCTTAGTGCTGCCATTGTAATCGTATCGTAAATCACTTGGCTTCAAATGAGATCTGTTTAAACATCTTCACATGTGATAATTTTTGCAGGAAACAGGGTAATGCTTGTTGCATAGAGCTCTAGTAGAATCTATGAGTAGTGTCATTTAAAATACGTTGTAATAAAGCTGATTGTACCTCTGTGCCTGTAAATTTTCTAGAGTATAAGCAATAGAATTTTGTAAACAACTTCTTGAAGAACATTTTACTTAAGATATCTTTAGGATGCTCACTTAGTTCATTGAAGTAGTCACTATGATATAAGCAACTACATCTTTTAGAGGAAATTTAAAAGTATATTAATTACAGACCTAAGTTTATCTTTGCATATTTGTAGTGGCTAAGATGTGCTGCAAGGATTAAAAGGAAAGCAGTGTGAGAACAAAATCTTACTCTTTCATAGAAATTAGTTTGGTTTTTAGTTTCCAAAGACACCAGCAGGAGTTCGTTATTCTAAATATTTGCATACAGAAAGGTGATACAGTATAGTAGGCATGTCCAACTGGTGGACCGTGTGTGACCCAGCACAGCTCACAATGCAGCCACCCCTTGCTCCATGCTGTAAAGGCAGAGATTCTTCCCCATGGAGCATCCTGGCTTAGTTCCAGGTGCACACCCATCGCTCAGCAACAACCAAACCATCAGTGTACTATTAACACTGCCTGGACTGAAACTAGGACACAGGGAGGACTCAGTGTAGTGGTAAATCATGGAAAATGATTGTATGCATTTTGATACGTTGGCTACACGCAGTCCTTTGAACACTAAAAAAACATGTAGTCCTGCTCTCCATTCTGATAAAGGAATCTGTGGATAGGTTTCAAGATTTTTGGAAAAAATAATTTTTTTTTGTATATTTGCGATTCTATTTTCAGTTGCAATAAATGTATTACTTGTGAATTTTCAAATGGAATCTGTAGAATTGCAATCAGATGTTCAACTAAAAGAAAAATTAGATATGTCTCTTTACCAGAGTTTTATAAGAACTCTCTTACCACAGGAAAACATCCCTTGCTTCACAGTCATGCTTTATTTATGCCATCAATTTCTTGCAGTATATCCATTTATGAACAGCTATTTTGAAGGATGAAGGACAGGAATAGTAAAACTTAATCAAAAATCTCTGACAAGCAGCTTCAGAACTTGCTAAGAACAGCAATAATTGCAATCAAACCAAACTGATGCATTAGGTTTGCAAAAAAAAAAAAAAAAGAAAAAAAGAAAAAAAAAAGTCAAATATTCCACTAGTTTTATTGTTTTGTTGCTCTTTTTTAACGCTTTAATAAAAATACAAACAGTTAACTTATATTGCTTATATGTTTTGCAAGGGCTGCTCTGGAAGTAATGCCTCCTATTTTATTCACCCACAATATCAGAGGCAGATGTTGGTGGCATGGCAATAGTAGTTGAACCTTCCCACCAGTATTCTATTACATTTATTGCTGTGTAACAGGTGGCAGCAGAGAAGCAGTCTGCTAAATACCTCCATTCAGAAAAAGCTGCAGCCATTGATGCTTGCTGAATGTTTCCAGAGACCAAACAGTAGATGTGAACATAGTGAGGTGGTGAGTGGTGCATTTCAGCAATGATAACAGTGAGTGTGGGTCACTTCCACTGGTGCAGGTTTTGACAAGCATGGCATGCAGGCTCTTGTTCATCACTGACAAAAATTCATAGCTCATGGTGGTGACTATATTGAAAAATAGTGCTCTGTAGGTGAGAATTTGCTCTATCAAACAGAGTTACCATGCTCATTGCATTTATTGTAGTTTCCATAAAAATAAATAGGAGGCATTACTTTTGGTGTGACCTATGTTTATGTGGCCCAGAACAATTCCTTTTTACTCAGTGTGGCCCAGGCAAGCCAAAAGGTTGGACATCTATGCAGTACAATATAGAGATGATAGTAAAGAGGGTCCATTACATATCAGGTAATTGAATGTTTGAACTAGAGGACACTCAATGAAACTCTCGCTAGAAAATACTTTGAATTGAGGTATTGCCTTACACAGTAGAGCAGCTCTGTTATTCAGTGCCTCAAGATTTTGAAGGAACAAGAAATGCTAGCAGGAAAAATAAAAATTAGAAAACTTACAGACAATGGATCCGCGAGTTGATAGTAAGAGCCAGAGAGAAGCTGATCATCTAGCATTTGTAATTCCCAGGACTTACTCTCTAAGTGAAATTTTCTAGTTCTGCTGACAAGGACAGAATACTTCAATACGTGGTTGACTGATCTGATTCAGTAGGGCACTTCTTATATTCTGGGTAAATTGTATTCATTAGTACGATGAGAAAAATATTAGATTTCTTACATTTTTACCATGTACTCTCAAAGGCTATTAAATAGGAAACTGACTTAGCCTGGACTGCTGTGGTGTAGTAAAGGCAGTGGCAGAAGGTAACTTCTTCAGTAATGCTCAAGAGAGTTTGTTCTGTATTCTGAAGCTGCTTTTTGTTTCATGCTTGCTGATATGGCCTTGCTGGCATAATTCTGTTCACATTAAATACTTCAGTTTTTCCATCATAACAGTTCTTCCATTTGACATTTTTTATGTTATTAATATTGCATTGGATTAAGGATTTGTAATAAATCTATCACAATGTACATCCTTCTTAACTGTATTCAATGGTTAAGAGAATGGATTGATTCTTATAGCAGTTTCTCTCTGTTTGAAAGTAAATGTGCAGCGCTGCTAATAAAGGGATGCATTTAACGTTTGAGTGCCATATAAAAGTTTCTGCATTGCAAATGATCCATTAAATTCCATTACACTTAATGAAAGGCATATCTTATAATGAGGCACTGGAGGAACCTCCCCAGATTTAATTATTGTGTCTGTCTGTTCTCTCTCATTTTCCTACCCCCACAAGCTTTTTAAAACCCTATTTTGCAATGTACTTCCTTCTAAGTTAAGAAAAGACATATTTGTCATTTTAGTAATTATTCTTTCATATTTTCCCATGTTAATTAGGAGCATATTTTGAACAGCAGTTAAAGTTAGTACAGACGTTTGCAGAACTTGCGATGGGTCTCATTTATGGTTTGGAAAGGATGTAGGTGCCTAATACTAAGACAATTAAACTGTCAGTATTCTTAGTGCTGGATAACCCTTGCACCTGAAGTTTTATTAATGGAGATTCTGTACCCAATGTCTGTGGGTTTCCAGTCTTTTTAATTAGTTGTTCCAGTTAGAGATGATAATAAGCAATCTGATAGCTTAGTTTATAAACATAAGTAAATTCAGGGTAGGTGTCTGCAATTAGGAAAGGTCTTGTGAGCTTAACAGTGAGAGGCTACTTTCAGCCTTTTTTATCTTGAAAATCTGGGGAAGGTAATGAGATAAGGCAGGAAATTACTAAGTTATTTAGAAAACCTTGATGAAAGACATGAAACCACGTGAGTTTAACTTCCTAGATGATAGTGTACTTTTGCTTTTTGTTTGTTTGTTACAATGATACACTCTGGTGAGACAACTAAAGGTTGTGTTTCTGGTGCACCCAGACAGAGTGTTTTCTTTTATAATGAAATCAGTCTCTGAGAAGAAAGGTCTCCTGTTTCAAATTCCAAAATGTTGCAAGATGTGTACACTGAGGGTGAGTGCCCTTAAAGAAGAGGAGGTTGACAGATTCAGTTTGTGTGCTGGCTGTGGGGGGCTTGTTCTGATGAACCCATGCTATTTTGCTATGAAGGTGATCTATTCTTGGATGTCTCTTGAAAGTTAAAAAGTATGAACATAGGTTTCTTTGCATCAATTATTGATGACGACTTGTAAATTTTACTAGACTTCTGTATACGGGGCACATAAGATAATCGTGTCAAAATTGTTGAATTCATAATATCCATATTCAGTTTCCAGTTTGAGTGCTGTCTTGGAGGCACTTCTGTCTAGTTTATTTAACTGATTGCTGAAATTGCAGCTGTTTTGGGAACTGTTAGAGCTTGTTTACAATATGCCCTGCTATTCCTTTTTTTCCTGGCTCTGTCCTGCCTTTCTTAGTGGACATCTTCTTTCTCTGTCAGTTGAACTTTGATCTTGAAATTCCCTCTGTCTGTGTGGACAATATCTTTCCTCTGGTGAGATCCCTCATTTATGTTGGAGAGTATACTCTGGGCAAACTTGCTTAGGGTGGGTGGCTCATGTGTTCTTCCAGTCCTTATCTGTGAGAGTCACTGACTGACAGCTCTTCCCAGCCTCCTGCTCCTTGGGTATTGTGTTCCCATTAGTTGTTTCTTGTAGTCCTCACATCCTTGAGGAAAAAGAGATAAAAAAGAGAAACTTCAGGACTTTGTCTTGGACAATATCTTTTGGTTATTCTTGCTTTCGCTGGTGCATTTAACTCCTAGTAATGTGGGAATCTCCTTTAAGTGGAGGCTGACAGACCTGTGGAAGGCAGATAGTGTTACCGTAGGAACTTGTCAGTAGTTTTCTGTTGCAGAACAGCTCAGTAAAGATTGTTCTTCCCACAGATTTCTCTGTCAATTTAAGCAGTATTGGAAAAAAAACCACACCTTTATAGAAGCTGTTGTTCATTTTAAATGGAAAAATGAATGTAAAGAAAGAGCATGGATTTATTGTCTTGTAATTTTTAAGAACATTGATTTCAATGATTAAATTTGGATTTAGCTTGGAAAATTTGCAGGATATACAAGAGGGCTGCAATTTAAATTTATCGTAAGAGTTCAATCTTTAAGCTTGCTTTGTTCACTGCCCACATGGTAAGCCATAGATCAGTAATTTAATTCTCTAATCTAAAGATTTTGACTTTTAAACTTTAGGCTGCAGTGTTTCCGTATTAGAATACTTCATGTTAACAATGGCTTCTTCTCAAGGCTGGTGAGTGTGGCTTGAACCATAAGAGACTTATTGTAGGATAATGGTGACATTATCTCTTGCAGATTAAACAGTTTGAGAATCTTGTCTCTGATAGTTTTCAAAGAGGTATATGGAGAGCTGGAGAAAGACTTTGCAGGAGATGGCAAAAGATAAGGAGAATCCATTATTTGCATTTTGTATGCAGAAACTCAACTGGAAATTCAGTGTATGCACTGTACTGACCATTCCTTCCTTAAAAAGTTTCAGTTTTCATAAGATGAATTTAGGGCTATGTGAGAGGCTGCATGCTACCCTTAGAGTTCACTGCCCATCATGTGGCAAATCAATGACATGCAATCGCATACAGACTGTACTACACTTAATACCCCTTATACCACCTTTAGCACAGTGATTTAAGGTTGTGATGGTAGGCTTTCAGGATTCTGAGTTGGAAAGGCTTCTTGCATGTTCCTCGTTTTCCACGCAGGTGGGTCTGTTAAGTAACAACTTCCTTTTAATGTTCATCATAATTTGTGAGTGTCCAGTGTAACCTGTAAAGTTAAGAAAGCTTTAACGTGTTTGTTCCCTTTTTCCACTTAAAGGGAAAGTGAAGTAAACCAAACACCTAATTTACCCATCTCCATTGTTTAGCAAGGGGCAAAAATCTTACTTCTTTTTCCGTGTGATGATAATGAAAACAATAAATTATTTCCTTTTTGAGAAGTGAGAATATTTAGCATATGTATACCTGAGAAGCTCTTCAGCTACTATTTAGAAGTTTTGCTAATTAAAATTGCTTCTCAGTCAACATAGGCCATTGTCTCCTCTGGGTTACTTGAAACCGATTTCTACCAAGTAAAGATTCTCCAGTAATGTTTGCTGGTAATTTGCAGGAGCTAATTAACTAATGTTATTTTTAGCAAACATTTTATTAAGATGTTTCCTTTCCCAGATTAAGTAATTAAGAATTTATTTTCCTCATATTTCATAGTGGAAATCCTATGATATCAAATTACATTCTATATTTAGCTTTAGTTGATGCTTGTTACGTAGCATATAGAAAATAATACACTGAATTTGTGTTAATTGGACTACTGTCTAATTAACAAGCTTTTTTTTTTCATTCTCTCCTTCCTAGTTTCATGCAATGGATACACTGCATAAACATAACTATGATTTGAGCAGTGCCATCAGTGTTCTAGTGCCACTTGGAGGACCTGTCTTGTGTAGAGATGAAATGGAAGAATGGTCAGCATCAGAAGCTAGTTTGTTTGAAGAGGCATTGGAAAAATATGGAAAGGACTTCAACGATATTCGACAAGACTTTGTAAGTACTGAAGTAGATTACTTCTTTATTCCTGTGACACAGGTGAGCGTAACTACTTTCTGTAGGTTTTTAAGATTAACTGGAAGAGAAATTTGTGCAGCTAATATATGTAATTAATGTGCATGTTTTTTTTCAGATGAAAGTAAATATTCTTTCTTGTTTGGAATTCTTCAGAAAGATGTTGGCAGAAGATAATCCCCTGGCCAGATAGGGCATCTCATATGGAAATGTGTTTTGTTCAAGAATTTTAACAGGATGTAATACAGATCTGTAAAAGCTCCGGAAGAATGTCAGAATTTGTTCACAATTTTGAATGGAATTTATTAGCTATACACTTTACTTCTCTGGGTGTTTTTGAAAACTCTGAGGTTCCTTTCTGTGGTTAGCAGAGAAAAAGAAGTATTCAGATAGCTTTCAAGTCCACTACAGTGAGTAACTTTGACATACCAGATATTCTGGCATTTCTAAAAAGTTTTCCAATACCTTCTAAATAGAGGTGTTTTTTATAATTAAGCATCAGACTACAGGACAGCAAAGCTATAATTTGCAGCATTCTACTGCAGAATAATGAAATGAATTCTGAAATTGTTAGTAATTTGTTTACATTTTTTTCTTGCATGTTTCTTGAAGAATTTCCTTTTCAAGAAAAAGTATTTCCTTCGTTGTACTAAATCATTCAAAATGGGTTTTGTGAGAAGGGTTAGGGTATAAGCCAAAAAAAAATTGTAAAGGTTGAATTTAAGATTGAAGCTGAATGAAACATTTTCATGGCAATTTCAGCCTGAGAATTCAAAATTTATTTTTCTTTGTAGGTGTTACTAATCACTTTTGGAAAGGAAAAGTAGTACTATATAGTACAATGTAGAGTGTGTGGGACACTGGGAGGAGGCTAAACACTAAGCTCTGCTGGAATGAAACAGATAATTGAATAAAAGTGGGAAGGGAAGGCCATTGTTTTTCTGGAGAGCTGACATTTTAACAGGTGTATTATACGTGCATGCTTAATTCCTTGATTTCTAAGGGAGAAAATTCACTGTGTTTGTCACATGAAGTTGAAAATTGCACTGTGGATGAAAGAGCTCTCGAATTTGAGAAAATGAGTGAAAAGGAGTGTTATAGAATTTTAGAACCTAAATCAGTGTAAACTACATTTGGTTGCTAATTATCATGCAGATAAATGGGTCCTAAGCTGTAATTGTAGAGTAGCTGACTACTATGACTTCTAACTGAATGTCTTGTAATGCTTAGTATTTAGCTAAGGCATCTACTATGTATTTTATTTGCTGTTTATAAATTGTATTCTAAAGCAATTTGTGAGCAAGGAACTCTAAGCCTTTTCTCTGTTATTTATGGAAAAGAAACTTCTGTATAATTTTAATGTGTTAGTATATGTAGTTAAATTCTGTTGATTGATACAGTGCAAGAATATGTTGCAGAAATAGTTTTGTTTTTTTGTTTTTTTTTTCTCTTAGTGTTCAAATATAGCTACTTCAGTGAGCTTTGAATCTATTTAAAAAAGCTTAAAATCTACCTGATTTTTATCTCAGGTAGATATTTCCTGATACTCTCTCTATTTCATCGAATATTAGTTGCCAAAGCATGGGTGCTTTATTTTTCCTTGCTGCTCTCCCAGAATGTAAGAGATCTAAAGATAGGGTTTTGTAGCCTAAAGAGGGTGCATTAATGATTAGCCAAAGTAGAGCAGAAATGAATATGGGGTAGTAATCAACTAAAGTCCCTTAGTTAAAACAGAAATGATATCTATCCTTAGTCACTTTTCTTTTAACCTTTGAAAAATTGACACACCATTTTTAAAGCATCATTAGAAGGTGTATTTTACATAGTACTTCATGCAGTGTTGGTAACAGTGCACACAATCTTGAGATAAAATTTATGTAATTTGGAAGCTCTCCACTACATTAATCATGTAATCTTGTGAGATACCTTAATTTCTCCAAAGAGAAAGTTATATATTTTCACTTGCTTTGTAATATTCTAAAGTTGAAGAGTGTTAAAAACAAGCCTTTATTTTCAAGTAATCATTTAAAATAGACCTATAAGATTTAAATTATGGATAATATGAAAAGTCTGCATGCTGAGATAGCTGTACAATTCTAGTGCTCAGCAGTTAATTATTCATTAGAATACATTTATCGATTACCGGTTATCATACCTTGTAAGTTAATCTTATATATGTCGGAAAAGCCTAGACAAAGAAGTTAATACACTGCTAGTCTGTGTGCTAACTTGTTTCAGCACCTATTTTACATCTAATCCTTTGCTGTCTGAGAACTTGAACCTAAGCAGCTTAGTCAGCACCATAGTGCCACTTTGCAAGCAAGACTGTCCTGGAGTTGATGGCAACACTGTGAAGAAGAGGGTTGTGCCATACCGCTTTGAGTCATTACATGCCAGAGGAGAGGATCTGAATCAGCCCAGATTTACAAGGCAAGATGCAGTTGCAGCCCTTATATTATAATTCTCTAAAGGGCAGGCTCATTTACTTTCCAGCAATTAGTAAGAACCAGCACTGTTTGACATTAAAGTTGCAGCTCAAACTTGATGCTATAACCATTAAATATTAGGAAGCAAAATAATTATTATAAATTAAATGGTATAAAGGAGTTTACCTTTTTTAATAGACCGGTGCAGCTCATTTGTTATCAAATTACAGTCTAGTCTTTGAATAATCATTTTTGTTGGCTGTTGACTCATGAACTGTTAAAGGAGCTAATTTGTTGAGATTCTGCTGACTTTAAGGAGCTATGTGAATCCTAATCAACCTAAAATTTTTAACTTGATTAGAATTACTTAATTTACTTGAATTACTTGAATTGCTTCACATCCCATGGTTGTAAAATGGGAAAACAGTGAATATTTTGTGTTCTCGAAACATATTTTCCTAAACAGCATTTTAATCCTTAGTTTTTCATGATCTTAATTTTTCACAAATGTATGACATTCATATCTCAAAAAATACGGGAAATGCCTTGAAAATCTGACTCAAACTATTTATATAAAATAGGAAAGAGATTCCAGTATCAGAAAATCATGGAAATATGCCTTAAAGTTAACACATTCATTTTAAAATAGCTTAGTCCTATGTTTCTCATGCTGGTCTGACTTGAGTGGTACATTTTTGCCCCATAAAAAACTCAGGAAACAAAAATTCTCTCTTCCTGGTTTTGTACTGCTAACAACTTAATGTTATTTTTGTCCTGCAGAAATGTCAGTAAGGTGGTCATTTGTATGTCTTTCAATTAATTTTTTATTATAATTTCAATGGCAGTACATTATTCTGTATCTGCTTATGGCTTCTGTGGCAGTTAAGAGCAACGTAAGGAAAACTCTAGTGTCTTTACAGTGTGTTATCATTTCTGTGTGCAAGTAAACAGAATAAAGGCAATTCGTACTCAGTGTGTCAAACAGGTTTTCTGGGATGTGTGACTCAGTGTAAAAAGGATTATGGCTATCCAATTCAACCACCTTAATTATCTTCCATTAATTGCAGTTGCCTATTGAGTGAACAAACATATTCGTGTCACAGTCATAGTTGTAGCAGATGGAAGTTTAGAGAAATGGTAAACATATTCTGCGGCGTGAATTGTATTAGTAGCATAAATGTTGAGGAAAGAAAATAGGTATTAAGAAGTTAAAATGGACTAGTTGATGACAACAGATAGTTAGGGTTTCACCTTGGTGTCATGAAGTATGTGGACGTACTGAGAAGCAGCTCATCTGTCAACTCACAGTGAAGGTGTGTGTGCTACTCACCAGCCCTTTTTGTGGTCAGATTTCTCTTAAGGCATTGTTTACATGGGAAAGTAAACAAACTTCAGTAAACTGAATTGTGTTACTGTTTCTTTGCAGCATCAATTTATGTATTTGCTGCGCTGCTACTTGTTAGTTAAATGCAAACAGATAACCTTGCTGTCGTTTGGACCAGAGATTTATACAGTGTGGTATACTGTCTGAAAAAGAAGACACAACTAAATCTGAACCCAAATCCCAGCTCCCAAGAGTAGGAATGGGAGCCAAATACAGTTCGTCTGAGTGCCTGAAAGCAAGCAGAGTGAAAAACTGGCTGTAAGCTCCTGTACGCTGGCAAAGGCAGTTTGATACGGTTTTTCTTCTGCTGCTTTCAGGAACTCATTAAAGGTTCAGGAACTTATCCTTTTGTCTTAGAACATGGAGAAAGCCCCCACTTACTCGAATTTGTAAGATCGCAAAGATAAGCTTTCACAGCATGATTATTATTAGCATTCATGCATGCCTCCATTAAATACTGTGCACAAAATACTAATGTCTTTCCAGGTTATAAGTAAAAATTGCATTAAATCTGTATGGGTCTTACTAATTTAAGTAATAGAGAATTGATGGTATTGAATTAGTCTTTCTGTGAAATAGATAATTGGGTATTAGTTAGAAATAGCTGCTCTGTGCTTAATTTTTTTCCTTAAACCTAGTCTATGAATCTGTGATTTTAGGTCATAGATTTTCACTTTATTGATAAATTTGTGCACCCAAAATTGTTAAGAAGGTCATAATATTAATATTCAACTACTCTGATCTTGCTCAGAAATTTTTGTGAAGTACTCTGTGTCAGTTTTGCTCTTATTGCAATTTGTCCCTTGCATCCTTTTGTTTGGTGCTTAATGGTTGAGTGTGTAGAGGTTGATGCAGAACCAGCAGTATTATAAGAGCAGCTGAGCTGTTATGAGACTTGAAAAACCTGTGAATTAACTACTAAAGCCAGTGTATTTTTTTCTTATTTAGAGTAAAACTATTATGAGACTTCAACATAGTCATGTCAAGGTGATTTATTTTAGTCCTGATATCATTCTTAATCTGATGCACTTCATAACAGATTTAACTTTGTGTTTCCTGATGCACCTGCTTTTGTTTTGATCATTTAGTTTAACTGTCTGGCTTACATATCCAAATCCATGTGTCATTTAATATTTCATTTAATATCGATGCAATTCTGCATCTTTGTTAATTATAGATTGTTAGTATTAGTAGTACATGCATTTATATGCATATGGATTTTTAAGGTAGGTATTTAATGCATATACATTTTAAAATTTCTGCATACGCTATATGTGATTTTTAACATGTATTGAATAAAATGTGAACACTGCAATTTCTTGGAACTACTTCAGTTTGTAACATGTTTTTCAGCTCCCTTGGAAATCGCTGACTAGTATCATTGAATATTACTACATGTGGAAAACTACTGACAGATATGTACAGCAGGTAATTTAATGGTTATTTCAGCATGAATAATTCTGACACATTCTTTAAAAAAATAAAAAAGTCTCAGCTTGCTAAAGAATAAAAAATCATTTGTGTTCTTAAAAAGACACGTGGCAGGAGGCGTATGGTAACATTTTAGGATGCAGAATACTGGTTTTGTGATGTTCACACGATGTATTGCCAAATCCTAGAATGCCTACTGTACACTACATAGCTGTGAAGTGCTTTTTAAGCCATGTGGATTGTATACTCATTTGTAGCAGTATGATTTCTGCATCTTGCTATGGTGTGGAGAAAAGAAATGGGCTAAGGAGCAAACGCTGTAGGCTACGAAACTGTGTAAGGAATCAAAGGATAAGGAAACAGAGATTGTATTCAATGTGACTCTTAATGTTTTGAACATTTTGTTGATACTTAATGCTAAAATATTACTTTGGCATGACCAAGATAGAAAAACAAAGTTGAGAACATTCTGCACACAATGAATATGTTCATCCTTCTGAATGAATGTTTGAGTCCTCCTGTAAAAGAAGAATGATAATATAATTTTGGATACCTATGCTGGGTTACTTGAAACAGATTTAGGCAATACTTTACTGTTAGTACTTTTTATGTATTATACTATTTACCTGTTTACTCCTTGATTTAGATATTCAAAATATTTTAAAATACTTCACTGTAATTCACAATTTAACATTTTAGTTTGTAGCTCATTCACTTGTATAATTTGTAGAAACATGAAGTACAGAATGTTGAAAATAAATTTTATGCTCTAATGAATGATGACAGCTGTATTGTTAAATGGATGTCTGGAGTTGTTCCAGATCTTTTTGTTGCCGTATGTCAGAGGATGATTACTGCAGCTTGCTCTGTGGTTTTGGTTATTTTTTCTTCTTCTCTGTGTGTGTGTGTTTGTGTGTGTTTTGGGTTGGATTTTTGTTTCTTTGCTTGGTTTGGGATATGAAAATTAAGGGAAAAGGTGTTTGCTTGTTTCTGATTTTTTTTTTTTTTTTTAGCCATATAATTGAATTTTGAATTATCTCTAGGATCTTTTAGATAAAACAAAAAGAAAATGACTTGCTCTGTATTCAAGGATTTTTTTTTCAATTTGTCCCCATTTATTTTTTGTACTATTCAAATTCATCTTAAAAAGGCATTGCCAGCAAAGTTTTGCTTTGCTGTTTGTCAACTCCTGAGGAATGGTCGTTGAAGGATCTTGAAGAATCAGATTAAAAAAAGTTAAGGTTTGGATCGAGGATAAATTGAACTGAAAGCTTAGTTTTGTTAGCTGATTTGAGATTGCTCAGAGCTGATCATGTTTCCTGTGAAATTTTTCTGAAATTGCTCTAGATTGGTTGGCAAAAGACTCTTGAGACTCCTTTTCTAAAGTTTTGTAGGGCTTCATTATTATTCTGCTGCTACGACTGTAAAGATGTGATGCATTGAGCTTGCGTAATAAAGGTGTAACATCCTAACTCAGAACATGGCATGACACCACAGGATTTATTGTTTTAAGCAAGGTCTTTTCAAAGTCATGCATGATTATCAATAGCAAAACCAGTGTAAACCAGGTATCTCATTTGTATGCTACTGAACATGTCTGCAATCCTCCTGATCAGAGATCAGAACTTCATCCTGACATTGTCTTGGTTGCTCTGGAATAGTAGAAATAATACAGCTCAGGACAAAAAAAAAAAGGGTACTATGGGTTTTGGTTTTCGATTTTTTTTTTTTTTCCCCTACTAGAACAAGCTGTAATGATTGAGTGTATTTCAGGGAGAAAATATGTTCAGTAAAAAAGTGGCAATTTTGGAGTCATTCTTTTCTAAATACAGTCCTTGAGGAGTAGAATAGCTTTGAGGAACAGGGAAATGTTGATGTACATTCTTACATATTATACATACATAAAATATGGACTTTGTGCAGTTTAATATGAAAATTTGCCCTTTAATTGTTTATTTCTTTGCATGAATTGGCTGTGTTGTGTCAGTCATAATGAATGTTTCCTTGTCATAATAACCTCTAAATGTCACTCATACTTTCTAGCTAAAGGTGGTGATTTAATGTTGATGGAGATACTGCTGTCACCTTTAGAGCATGTTCCTTTCAAGTAAAGGTGAAGGGAAATATTTGTATTGAAGGCTTCTATCTCTACTAAAACCTGTCTAGCAAAACTAATCCTGGCCTTCAGTAATCATTCTTGGTGACCACAACATATAGCATCTGAGAAAAGTGAGATGACCCATTTCACTCATTGAAATGTTTTCACATTATTTTCTTCTTAAAGATCTGATTCATTATTCCAGTGTCTTATTATCCTATTACCCTTACAAACAAGTAGTTGTCATTCTAATACTTCCAGCTTCAACTTTCAGACTTTCCCTTCTCAAATTTCTGTTACCTACATGTGATTTTTCATGATTTTGGAATCTTTTCAATTTCCTAGCATTTGCCCTCTGCATTTCAATAGGTAGAAAGTTCATCTCAAATTGCAACTATTTCTTCTTTCACAGTATATGAATTTATACTGACTGACCAGCTTTAAAGCTGTGATACTTTCTGCTACTTGTAGGGAACGATGTTAATCATCATTTTAGTGCATGAAAATGTAGTTTATGCTGAAGTAATATTGTGGAATTATTTTATAGAAGACAAAATATGATTCATTTTGGTAAACACACAAGGAAAAGAGTTGTTAAAATTCTATTACTTACAACCACCAGCATTAAAAGTATGCTAAAACTTAGTTATGCTGCTGTTCTTTCTTCTTGCTCTTGTAAAAACTGATTTATGCATGTAGACCATAGCATATTTATACTTTTGCTTTGGGCCTTCAGAAGGTTGATTCGTACTGGAGACAGACTGTAACTGCACCAGATGTGTCAGTGGAAGTCGCTTCTGTAGCTCCAAACGCAAGGTGACATATGTGAAGGGGAAAAAAGTTGTTGAAAGAAATCTATGTTGGAAGAAAGTGAAGATTACTTTAATGTTGAATATGAATTAATTCATGGTGGCATTGACTGCTTAGAAGTCTCACTATAGTACAGATTGCTCCCTGAAGATGCAGTTTTTACAAAAGAAAGTTAGGGTCGTGGATGGCAACTTTGTAAATGGAAGAGCGGTGGTTTATATGTGGATGCTTACTCAGGCTACTCAGCCAGAAGAAAGCTGATAAAACCTCTAACTTGCCTCATGATTCATGTAAAAGACTCCCAGAGCAGAGTCTTTTGATGGTATTTTTCTCAAGGTGAGAAGTATATTTCTGGATTATAAACCTTGTAAAGATTGGATATCAAAAAATAGGAGATCAGCAGAGGAGAGAAGTAACTGTTGTAGGAGAAATGGACTTATATTGGAACACCTGCAAAAGAAAGGGAGAATCTTGGGAGATAGGAAGATAGTGTTGACATATTATTGGAGAATATCAGAGTCTTTTTTTCCTCTATAATAAAAAAACCTTTTTTCAAAATAATTTTTATTTTTTGATTGATCAGGCATAATAGTGTCCTGAATACAGGAAGAACAGGGATGTAATATTTTTCTTTGATATTTTATTTAGAGACAGATATTTCAGGTATCCAGTAGGTAGCTGAACTCTATATGTCTTGTGCTATTGCTGAGAAAACTGTTGTTCTTTGTATCATTTCAAGTTTCCCACTGTTCTCAGACACCTGCAGATTGGTTACTATCTGTCATGGTGCAGATTTAGAGATACAAAAAGTGGCAAAACCCTGACTGAAATCAAGGGACTCCAGATTTTGCCCAAGAGATAGTGACATGTAACTTATGATTTTCAAACAAACTGAAGTGTCTTCTGTTAACTTTCAAGGATTTTATGTCACTGCTGTGTGGTTGAAACATTCAAGAGAAAATTGTCTTCAGTATAAATACTTTCATAAGTGTTCTGGCAATATGTCATGGATAACTTTCATGTGTAGAAGTTCATTCATATCATGCCAAGTAACACTAACTTAAATAAACAGGCAATACCACTTGGAGTTAAGGTAATAATAATACCTTGATGCAACATGCATTGAGTTTCTTAAAAGAAAGTTACAGCTTAGAAAAATCACAGATTATCTCTGTGCAGTGTTCTTGACAGAATTGTAATGACATTAAATGAACGCAGGTGCTTGGTGGACTTTCCTGTTCCGCTTCCTTGGACTGTTTATAAAATATCAGCCTCAAGCTGATAGAGCACACGAGAAATATTGAATTACTTGATTGACTCATTGTGTGCAGTTTCACTCACTCATTTTGCATTTATTCTGTGATGAGGGTTAGCTACAATGTCATACTTTTTTTTTTCTTTTGGTAGATGTAATTTATATACACGGTAGTCGTTGTTTTTACAAATTTGTTGTCATGTGCTGAGGATTGTGTTTTGCCAGGAAGGACAGCATGCTGTAATTTCAAACCGATAATAAAAATAGACAGCTCTATTTTTTAATGATTTTCATCATCTAGATTTCTATGCTTTTCTTAGAGTATTTTATACAACTGTGAAATGAAACGCAAATAATTTAAGGGTGGATTATGTGCAGTTTTATGAGTTTGTGTACTTGAAGATAATAAAGTATTTTCATGTGTTGATTTTTCATCTAGAAACGCCTGAAAGCAGCTGAAGCAGAAAGTAAATTGAAACAAGTATACATCCCCACCTAGTGAGTATAGCAATAAAGTTCTTTTTTGAATTACTTATAGGTGAAAATGTAAAGTGTATCAACACACATGATATTTCCTTCATCATTGTCCTAATACTTTTAGCATCTATATGCAAGTAGTACATACACATGCAGAAGTGTAATTGGAAAATGCTCTAAATTCTTTGTCCTTATTTCAACCCATTGGCTTTGACCATCAAACTTTCTGTTCTGGAAAGGTGAGAACTTCTGCAGAAGTTGATCAAGTGCTACACAAACTGCTCACATGCAAGAAGGGTCTTGTCATTTAAAAGCAATTTTTCTGGAGTAGTTGCTTCAGTATCTCTGTAGCTCAACATTTAATATTTGTGTAAATTCAGAATTTTAAAATAGAAGCTGTTGTTAATGTAGTTGCATAAAATCAGATACTCACTTTGGTTACAGTTTTATCTTGATATCATCTGTTCTTGAGTCAGAGACAAGATGTTCTGGCTGTAAATTAAAGGTAGCACACAGCCTCAAATCCTTTGCCTTTGATCAGTTCTTGTTAATGAATTCTGTTTTCCTCTGAGAGATTTGTACTTTATTTCTTTAGATTTAAACTTGATTCTAGATTTGCTTTTGTTAATGTGTGGATTATAGACCAAGATATAATCTCGATTTCATATTTATAATTTCCTTAAGATTATGATAAGAGAGGGGGTTATAGATGACAATCTTTAAAGGTTTTTGTGGATATATTGACTCTCTGTGTGAATTTACCCATTAATACCAACGTTAATATAACAGAAGACTAGAATACCAGATGAAATACTTTGAAAATCCATTGTTGCCTTTATGATTACATGTATAAATTGGATACAATAGATCTTAATTTGCATATTTCATACAGACTTTTTTTTCTCTTAAGTGGATTTAATACAAACAGCAAAACTGTGAATTTCAGTCTTTTAATTTCATTTGTGCAAAAAGCATCGTGAGTTTTACATTCAAGTCATATTTGCAACATGGATATTTCTTGACATTGTAGGCTAGAGGATTATGCTGAAAAGTCTCGTATGAGCGTTACATAACTCAGGGAAGTTGTTGATTTAGGAAAATTGTTAAGGACTAGCTGTGTTGTTTGACATAACCTATTGTTGAAATACAGATACTTGCTTTCATTTTGTTTTATTACCATCTCTTGTCTTACCGTCAAGACAAAATCCATATTCAATTGTTAGAACAGGAATTCTTGAGACATTGATAGCTGTAATCTGAGGCACATGTAGGTAAACATAGTTCTAACGCTCTATTTCAAGACAAATTTATTGTATTTGAAATCTGAGTGGCATTGATTCTTAAACTGAATACTTTTTTGATCTTGTCAGAAGGTACTTGCTGTAAAAGCAAGAGTCTGTCCTCAATAATCAAAGAGTCCCTTTCAATTTCTGGTTGCTCTGGAAGGTAACTTAGCAAGAGATAGTCAGGTAAAAATAGACTTAACTACCTCTTGATCTTCCTTATATCTTTATCTCAGTATACTTCTTGGAAGTATCTTGGGAAGATTCTTGATGAAGAGTATTTGGAAATTGGAAAGAGTCTCTCACTGGATATAATGAACAAAGGAGAAGGGGGAGTACACAATAGATGAGTGGTGAAGAATAAGTTCTTCAGTCCTCTTAGAATGAGTGGTTTAGGACAGAATCCAGGCAGAACAACCTGATACACGGGTGACCTGTGCCAGAGTTATAGGACTGCAGCATATTGCGTTTAGTGGAAACTTACATGCCTCTCATTTAGATACACAGCTGCAAGCTGTCCTCTATTCTAGACAGCCTTGTTGTATTACAGGCATTGTTACTACTTTCATGTATTATGTATTTCACAGAAAGACCAGCCTCAACTTGTAAAGCCTTGCAAAGGGGGACTATGCTGTGTCAGACTTGTTTCAGTGTTTGACAGTGGGGCTTGCTTTGTCTTTAGCTTGCTAAGCAAGTTTGACCATTTTACAAAGATCTGCAAATTTGAGTACTGTAGCAGCTCTTTATGCATGATTCTGTGTTGAGAATACCAGAAGAACGTAAAAATTAGTCTTTTGTTAATTTTTACAGATGCTGTCACCAGACGGAATTCCAGAATTAAGTTGTTTTCATTTTTATTAACAGGTTAGAAAATAATTTCTGAAAAATGATTTTTTTTTTTTTTTTTTTTTTAGCAATAAACCAAATCCCAATCAAATATCCAGCAACAATGGGAAACCTGCTACGGTCAATGGAGCAATGGGAGCCTCTTACCAGGCGCAGGCCTCACTAATAGGGAGGGCTTGTGAAAGCTGCTATAGTAAGTCAAATTTTCATAAATATTTGAATAATTGAGGAGTTTTGGCTAATCTTAATACACTTTAAACAAAATCTATATACTTTTACAAGTAAGAGATAATTTTTGATCAATTATGCAGCAGAAATAACTTCAGATTAGAACTGCCTTCAATAAATTGATGTAATGTTAATACTCAAATCCAAGTCATTAATTTTTTTCTTCAGCAATTTAGTAAGTATGGAACAATCAAGTATTGAATGATGTAATGGATGTGATGTTATTCCTTTACCTTCAGGCTTCTAAATTTGTATTTACTTTTGCTTGTGCTTTAAATTTGTTTTCAAGGTTTTTTGTTGCAGATTTTTGTTTTGTTTTTGCTTTTAATTTGCTGTTGTTGCTGTGGCAAGATTGGGTAGTGTTGCAGTTTGGGGTTTTTTTAAATTCTCTAGTATTTTGTGCATTTGTGATTGTCCTTTCTTGAAATAGCAGCTTCTGATATAGATCGTATAAGAGAAGATATAATAAAATTCTGAACTGGAAAAGACTCAAAAAGCCTGGCATATAGAAGTTCCTTACTTATTGTGATGGCTCTCTGTGTCTTGAGCAGCAATTACATAAAAAATATTATTTTAGTTTAAAAAGTCCCAGTTACATACATTTGTTGTTTTCCAAGTTATATTTTTAAAGAGTAGTTTTCTGGTGAAAGTTTGATTACAAAAAATAAAAGACTAAATTAATGTTTCCAAATAAGACTGAACATGCACGAGATAAAGATAGGCACGCATCTTAAAAACTAGTTGATGTGCTTACCCTTTTCTTAAGAGGACCTTGACTTATAAGTACTGGCTTCATGTAACTTGGAGGTCACAGAGTAGAAACAGGGATCTTAAACAATTTCTGTAGGTAGCAAGCATCCTAGTTAGTCAGTTTTCCACATTAAGTTGAGAAATCATGAAGAGTGAGAGCAGAGGGGTTTTTTTGTTTGGGATTGTTTTAGTTGATTGGCTTTCTTTTTTGTTTGAAGACCCCCTGGAAGAAAATCTCTTTTTGCTGATAGAGAATCCTGAGTTTGAAAATAAATGCAGAAATACTTTTTCTCCATATCAAATGGATTAAACATTTTTCTTGGTAGTGCTTTTGGGAAATGCCATGCATTACAGCGTTTGGATATACTGTTCTGAATGTAGCATACAATTTAGTTGTGGTGTTCTCTCATCCTTAGCTTCACAGTCTCACCAGTGGTACTCTTGGGGTCCTCCTAATATGCAATGTAGATTGTGTGCATCTTGTTGGATTTATTGGAAGAAATATGGTGGCCTGAAAATGCCCACACAGACAGATGAAGATAAACTCTCTTCCAGCCAACCTGCAGAGGTAGGATTGTGTAGATAAGACTTCCTGAAGTGAAGTGTGATGCCTTCACAGCACTATTGTGCTTTGAATGATTAATGGCATGCATTTTATATGTGTGTTCAACCATGATGTTACAAAACTTCTCTTACTCTTATTAATCCTTTTCCTGTCTTTCGTATAGCTAAACATTGTGCTAGTCCAGACTTGACCTTATTTGACCAAGTCTTGGAAAAGTGGACTAATGTCCACATCATGCACTTCTGTTGGAGAAATGTCATCTTGTCAAGCAATTTGTATATTAACTATAAAACATTTATTTCATCTAGAATGGTATAATGTATGTCAATTCACAGCAGAGCTTTCCAGTGTGTTGCATAGCTTCATATATATAGCCCCAGTTTTTTCAATAGCACTTACACATTAGTTTATTAGCCTTGTGAATTTATTCAGCTTTTGGATTGTTATTATTATTTTTTAATTAATTATGAGGAAAATATCTTTTGTTCATTTTCTTCATTGTTTGGTGGAAGAAGGCTGCTCATTCTTTCAACTTGACATGACAGGATCTAATAACACTAGATAATTCTTTTGTTAAACATAATTATTTTTGGTACCACCTGTCACTAGTAGGGAACATTCAGATTGTGCAATTCAAGTTTGTGTTGTTATTTTTTGTTTTATTTCTGTAGGAATCCCATGTTAGAACCCATATGTCCCGGCAGGCCACACAAGGAACTCCAGTTCGTAACACTGGAAGTCCAAAGTCAGCTGTGAAAACACGCCAAGCTTTCTTTCTTCACACAACGTGCTGGACAAAACTTGCCCGTCAGGTCTGCAAAAATACCCTTCGGCTGCGGCAGGCAGCAAGACGTCCCTTTGTTCCTATTAACTGTGCTGCCATTAAGGCAGAATGTAAGATGTTTTTTTAATTCTTAGTTCTGTGTGCTGTGCTTCCCACCCATTTTTGTCTTTTAATTTTATTTTCTTTTTCAATAAACATCTCTTGTCTATATGCTTTTGCTTTTCATTTTTTCATTTGTCTAGCACATCACCAACACATTCCTAAAGTCTGGCTGCCTTGAACAGTTTTCAGACTATTTCAAAAATAGAATGTTTTGGAAGGTGCTGGAAGGATTGGGGATGAGGTGGGGGCTGGGAAGGAGGCGGGGGGCATTTCAAGTGAATTAACAGGGACATAGCCATTGCCTAATTTGCTTACAGAAAATGTCATTTAAAAAAAATCTTGTGGAGGATCCATGCTGTGACAGAAGTCAATGCTTCCAACTAGATAATGTGAAAGAAGTTTGCATTTATATTGTTGTTTATTCTTTTACTAAGTAGAAAGTATAGAACTGTACTTTATTTAGTTTTTCTCAGTGGAATTGGCCAAGGAATAAGTAGTATTGCTGTGGATGTATAAGAATTTAGATGTGGTGTGTAATGCAACAATTCATCATGTGATCAAGTGGGTAATGATAGCCAAGTTTATCATTTCACAATAGTTGCATTGTTTTTTGTCCATTTTGTTTCAAAATTTAGTTTTAAATAAAATACAGTGTGATGCCTTTTGTTTTTGTAGTCAAAACAAAGAAATGGTTGAGTAATAGTATAACAAATGGTTTTGGGTTGCTGTTGATAGCATCAGGAAGTCACTCTATGTTCATGTGTTTTGATTCTGTTCCACAGTCCTATGAAGTCACTCACTTTCAGCAGGTTTTGTGTCTGTACGAAGAGCATAGTTTTACTGCTTACACTGCCTGGTTCTATTTTGGTCTTCATCAGTACAGTTCTCCAATGAGGCACTTGATATTCCAAAACAAGCTGTGCTGGCATGCTACCAAATGTAGTACAATTGAAGAGACCTATTTAGAATATAAGACATTGGTTTTAAAACCATGTTCACTAGATTAGTGCTAAGTGTTTTCCCAGGATGCCAATGATATCAGTGTTAATTATAAGAAATAATAAGAGGCTTAAAATCTGGTTTTGAGTATTTTTCCCTAATGTACTTTAACACCAACTGTTTCTCACATGCAAACTCTTCACCTGCTTCTGCCGACTTCCAGAACTTGTTGAATATTTCTGCTTATTGTCCTCATTTATTTACTTGTCCTATTGTGCAGCTTTGAAAGAAGAAAGAAAACAGCCAAGTCAAGAACAACTTTCATAGTTAAGGAAACTGTATGCCCATTGTGTCAATAAAACAGGCTGTACTTTCATGGGACAATTATTTCCAAGGCTGGACTGTGCTTATATTTTTAATCCTTAATACAAAGTAACCATTATTTTCTGAGAGGAAACGATTGTACCTTTTAACTTACCTTTTAACTTAATTGGCACTGATTTTTACTAAATCATAAAGGAAAATTATTTTTAGAATTAGATTCATAGAATAGAATCATAGAATTTCTCGGGTTGGAAAAGACCTTAAAGATCATCGAGTCCAACCACGACCTAACCATACTACCCCAACTAACAACCCTCTGCTAAATCATGTCCCTGAGCACCACATCTATTTTAAACACATCCAGGGATGGTGACTCAACCACCTCTATGGGGAGCCTATTCTAGTGCTTAACAATCCTTTCTGTAAAATTTTTCCTAATATCCAACCTAAACTTACCGTGGTGCAACTTGAGGCCATTTACCTTCATCCTGTCACCAGTGAGAAGAGAACAACCCTGCTCTTGCTGTAAACACCTTTCAGATGTTGGAAGAGAGCAATAAGGTCTCCCTTCAGCCTCCTTTTCCCCATGCTGAACATCCCCAATTCCTTCAGTCTCTCCTCATAGATCATATTCTCCAAGCCCTTCACAAGCCTTGTTGCCTTTCTTTGGACCTGCTGCAGCACCTCAATGTTCTTTCTGTACTGAGGTGCCCAAAACTGAATACAGTACTTGAGGTGAGGCCTCACCAGTACTGAGTACAGGGGCAAACTTGTTCACTTGAACTTGAATCTTTTATCTATTTCTTCTTATTGCAGATGAGCTTTTTGTTCGGAAAGTTGGAGGGAGGAGGTTTCATCCAAGCATTAATCATCATAGTAGAACAAATGTTATAGTCACTTCTCAGCTTTTAAAACAAAGGAGGTAAAAAGCTGAGCTTTTCAGCATGGAAGAGTCATTCTTGTATCAGACTAACAATGTCGTGACTGCTTCATCTTTGTTCCTTTAAGTGAACACGTGCCACATCAGATTAACATCAGGAACAATTTTGTTTGTTCCTGTAGCTTCTATCTTTTATTATTCATTTTACATAAAGTAATTGGACCTTGCTATTTCATCTTTATGAATGCTGCTGCTTCCGGTTTAGATCTGACATAGATTGGAAGGAAAAAAAATAAATCAGTTGTTTATGTTTTTTAAGTACAGCATTCAAATTAGCTTATAGTACTGCTAACCAAATTATGTCTCATGAAATGTATTTAATGTTTGTGTGTAAATGCACATATATACAGATTTTCTGTTATTTGCCATCTTTCTATAGAATTTTACAGTGTTCTTACCTGCTTATGATTTTTGTCATATTGTTACTCCAGTAAAGCCTCTGAAGGAAACTGTTAAATAACTGACTCTTCTAGTTTCGTTCATGTACTTACACTGATGACCTGTGTTCAGTGCACTATGTGGATTTTAATGTTATTTCTAAATAGACTTTTTTTTTCCCTGAATGCCTTGAATCTTTAAATGATAGCTTGATATTAATCATCTTAAATGAGGTACTTAATTAGCAGTAATTATTTCATATGTTGAATACCACTGAGCAGTTACAATATTGAATGGTTGTGTTGTTGCAATACTTACAGTCATGCTTAGAAGATAACCAAGCCAAAATAGGTTACAGTATAGCATGAGATGGTTAGAATTTGTTTTCCATGCTGGTACGCTGGAACTTGAGTCTAATTTTTTTTTTTAAGACTCTTTAAGAATTACATAATTCTGTGTGTGTAGAACAAGTGCTGGGAGCTATAACTGCATTTCACAGCTATATTGTAGTAGGCACTATGCCAACATTATTACTCTCTCAGAAATCTTAAAATTGAAATAAAGGAGAAAGGCAGGGCACTCTAACCCCAGCAGCCTATCAAGTTTTAGGCCTTCTTAGTCTTAGGCAAATTGTTCAAGTGCTGGGTTGTTGATAAAATTAATTACCTGTTATGAGAAAGGAAGTCTGAACAAGCTAGTCATAAAGTGGATTTCTAGCTTTAATTTTCTAGCTTTTACTAGATTTCTCATAAAGTAAATTGTTTTTCGCATTCTGCTTGAATTTATCTGCTGACACTGCTTTTGTCTTGGAGGAGCATGGAAGCTTTTATAGTGCAAAAACAAACAAACAAATGAAAACCCCACAGATTTCAGAGCATTTATTTAATTCCTGTAATCATCTCCCTCAGCCCGTTACATCTGCTAGCAGAGAACAAGGTCCTATTCTGTGTTCTTCATTCCTTTGGTTAGATTAAAGAATTAGATTTTCCTCATTAGTGAACCATGTAGCATGACCCGAGATCTGATGCCAGCAGGAGGTAATGGAGAAGATACATTCACATCTCAGTTTAATCTACGGATGGTCACCAGAAGGTTGAGAGAGCATGGCGTCTCTTGCTAGGAGTTCAATCCATCATGGAAATTGCAAACTTTGTTCTGCCTAGAGATAATAGACTATAAGCTTGTCTGGTGGATTTTTAGGAATAATTAGAATTGGTGAACTGTTTCAGTAAGGAAACTTTCATACTCTGAATCAGGCAAAATATTCAACCTTTTTGTTAGTTTACAAATTTTTAGAAAGTTGAGCAAAATAATTCTGTCAATTGATTTTATTAAAGGAAACTGTAGTAGGTTTTCTTCTCCGCAGTCAGAGATCAGCTGGAGATGGATCCCATCTTACAAGTTGTTGATGCCTGGCAGTGAACCGTGTATGTGTGAACTTCACTGCCTCAATGTAAATTTTAATTTCATTGGTTGTTTTTTGTTTGCTTGTTTATTCCTCCTCACGTACAGTTTTATTGATACAATTATCTATAATAATCACAGTAATTTATATTTGGATAGTTATGCTGTCTATAGAGGTGACAAAATGTTATCAGTGAACAGTCTATGACCAAAATATACACCTTTAAGTCTGCAGATTTAATAACAGACATTTGGTACGTGATGCTATATTTTACAATACTGTTTGTTAAAGACAAGTGAAAATTAAGTAGTGTATGCAAAGATCTTGCTACTGATTTGTTTTTCTAAGCATACAGTCTGTGTACTGGCAAAACACTACCCAATCTTCTTAAGTGAATAACATTTACCAACATTTACCAGTCAGAAATCATTTCTTTACCTTCTTGATTTTCATAGCTGCAGAAGATCTTTGGCTGTACATAAAATGAAAACATTTGCTCTACTGTAATCTTTGAGTTTTTAGCCAGCAAAATAATCAAAAGAATGTGAGACTTTTTTCCAATGTTACTAAGAGGAGAAAAATTCAGAGACTATCTTCAGTAAATTTGTTGGATATTTGTTAGAGTGTTGGCAGAAATGGAATGGCAGAAATAACTCACAAGTGAGAATCTCTAAGCTTAAGAGGTCTACAAATCTAGTAAGTACAAAAAAATTTAAACCGCTTTCAAATTTAAAAGCTCCATTCTCTATCATCATCTCCTTAGAATGCCTGATTTCTTTGGTATTCACAACAGTCATCCCTTTTCAAGGCAGAGAAATTAATCTGTTTAAAACCTCATAGACAATCCATTTCACACTGTGGTTTGTAATGTTGCTCCCTGTAGCTTTTCTAATTGTACTGTATCTTTTTAAGGGTTGTGGTGTCCCACAGTTTCCCATAATTTTAGAGAGCGTTGTATTTTTTCTGTTTTTCTCGCTATTTTGCTCCTGGTTTCAACTGGGACAGAGCTGATTTTTCCCTTCATAATGTCTGGTGTGATGTTATGTTTTGGTTTTAGAAGAAAAACAATGCTGATAACACAGTGATATTTTAGTCATTGCTGAGCAGCTCTATACAGAGCCAGGGACGTTTCAGTTTCTCAGCTTCTTGTACTGCCTTGACAGCAAGGGGACCAGGGGGCACAAGGAGCTGGGAGGGGACAGAACCAGGACAGCTGACCTGAACTGACCAAGGAGATATTCCATACCATATAGCATCATGTGGAAAAAACTTGAGAAATGATGGGGAGTTAGCTGGGGGGCAGCTGCTGCTCAGGAACTGGCTGGGCATCAGTCAGCAGGTGGTGAGCAATTGCTTGTGCCTCACTTTTTTTTTGTGCGTGTGTGTGTGTGTGTATGTATAATTACTACTATATTTTTTCCTCTTTCTGTTTTAGAAAATAGTTTTTATCTCAACCCATAAGTTCTACTTTGGTTTTTGTGTTTGTGTTGTTTTTTTGTGTGTGCCTTTCTTTCAGTTCTTTCCCCCATCCCACTGGCTGTTGAAGGAGGTGAGTGAGCAACCTGGTGGTGCTGACCTGCCTGCTTGGTTAACCCAAAACACTCACTCTTCTTCTCATAGTAATTTCTAATTATGTAATAATTTCACCATCATTTCACCAAGCAACCACTTTCAAATATTGCCCAGCTATTTATAGAAAGCGTTTGCACTGACACTGAGAATGCTATTCTGCATGTTGGTCATTCAGAACCCATTGTTTTTATCTGTATATTAGTCATTCTACTCTATAAGAATTACTTTACATTCAGTGCTTGATCTTACTGATATCCTTGGCAATCAGTTTTAGTTTTGATTATGCTCAGTCATTTATTTTTAGTTTACTTGAACTCCATAATCACATTTTTTCCTACCAATTCTACCAATTTAAATGTTGAACAGTACGCATCTTTTTGGAATTGCATAGACAATTACTTTTAATCAGGCTCTAATCCCTGACAGAACTTTTTCTTTTACATCATAGCCACTGAAAAGTAACAGTCTTTTGTGACACATTTTGTCAAAAGCTGTTTGAAATTCCAAGTTGGATGAAGGATCAGATGTGTGCGAGTGTATCAAGATCCTTCAGAGGATCCTGGCAGACCCCTGACACTTGCAGTTGCTGTTTTACAGAATGTGTGTAGGAAGGGGCCTATGAATGTCTGATCCAACCACCTGCATAAATCTCAGAGCCTTTTGCCAATCTTTGAGGATGGAGACACTACAGCCTCTCTGGGATAGTTGTGGGTGGTAATCAAGTCTTCCCTTGGCCTTCCTATCTAAAGGCTGGCCAGACCCAGTTCCCTGAGCCTCTCTTTACGTCTTATACTGGTGGCCCATCAGCCTGTTGACTTTCCAGTAGCTGGATCTGCTCCAGTATATCCATCTCTCTATTGCAGTAGTGATTCCAGAACTCAACAGTGGTTTCACAACAGCCAAGAAGAGGGGAGGGGTTAGCTCCCTTTCCCTGCTGGCTGCACCCATGCTAGTAAGGTCCAGCATGCAGTTGTCCTTGTTGCAAGGGCGTGCTGCTGAATAATGTGAACACAACAAAAGTGTTTTCCATTTTCAGGGTCATTGTTGGCTCTTGGTGTTTGATCTGTATGCCTCTATTAATAGCTCAGTCCTTTTTTTCCAGTCTACAAAACTACTTACTAAAGAATGTTATCACATTCGCCATGTTTTTATTCTCTTGAATTGAGAGAAGTTTAATAACTGAACACCAATACTGTATGTGCTCAGCAGTTTCTGGCTGGATGAATCTCACCTGGTTCTGGAAACTTGTTTCTATTCATTAATTTGTTTTGAAATATTTTCCGTGGACACTTTTATGTGAAATAGTTGTCATACTTTTCTCATAAAAGTGTTTTCTTTTAAGTTTCTCAGCAGTGAACACCAATTCAAAGAATTAGGTTGTTTTTTTTTTCTGACAAGTCTTTAACTGCCTTGTGTATTTGCATCACACTTGATCATGTCATATTAATACAAGTACTAGAGCACTTCTTGTTTTTGATATGTCTGAAAAATACACATCATCAGATACAATACTCCTTTTTAAAGAATTGTTCTTTATTTTTTTTTTGCAATGCCTTTTTTTATTTCTCAATGCTTCCATTCCATCTGGTGTCTACATGGATAGTCATGTTTGATGTTAGGACTTTTTTGTTGTTGTTTTTCATAAGTAGTACATAAAGATAATGAACTTTATTATCTGTATCATGAAAGTACCATACTGTGGGTTAAAGTCTGCCATCATTAAACATGTTTCATTGACAGCAGTGTTTTGGAATATCCACCAGGCACCTTTGGTGAAAATGTTTTGCCTGAAGCGTGGAATTTGGGCTCTTTCTGCAGTCTGTATTCTCAGCATATTAGCATCTCACTATGATTCAATGTCTTTTTTTTTTTTTTTTTTTTTTTACAGTGAAAACATGTAGGTGGAAAAACTTCTTGCTAATTTCTTCATAGTCAATGCTCTACTATTCCCAAACTATAAAATATTCACTGCATAGCCTGTGCTTATTTTACTAAGAGAGTCAGTGGAGATGCTTCTTTCTACTGTCAGTTAAAATAGTTCAAGTGTTATGGAATGTTAAAAATATTCCAGGCACTAGCTCCAGTGCGTTTTCTTCACTGAGCACAGCATATGTTGTTACTTACATTAAGGAAAAATAACATTAAAACAAGCTGAGCATTGTCTACTAGGTTTAAAACACCTGTGAACAGACTCTTGTACTTTTGACAGTCATTGCTGTGGTTACATCACCTGCACATTTTTTCACAGATTTGGATAGAGTATATATAAAGGGTAAATGTTATGTTTTTCCTCAAAGATAAATTGTTCTATATAGTGTTTTACCCTTTTCATGTAGGTGTAATCACTGTATGTAATGTACTCAGTCTCCTGTGCGGGATTGACACACACAGGAATATTTTAGTAACATGCACTGTGGATGCAAAGTACAATTATAATTACTATAATCTATTTTTAATATCTAGTTCTTGTAAAGCTTGTTAGAAAATGCAGATTTGTGTGCACGTGATACGCATACAAAAAAACGTGTACATGGGTGTGTATATATGCAAGAAGAAATTCTACGTGAGACAATTCTAGATCTACAGTATCAAATTGTGAATGTGGTTTTGTATGAAATCTGTGTTCTGGATGTACTCTCTGGGGGGATTATTTATATGATCTTGTAAAACAGATGACCCATTCTTTCCAAAGAGTTTAAAAGGAAAGCTTATTCCAGTAATCCTGAAACTGACTAATGAAACTTGGTGTCCTGTGGATTTTTGCCTTGGGTTGATAGGGTCTAATTCCTAAGTCTGAACCTCTTCTTTATAGCGCTTCTGTGTTTGGGGCATGTAGAAGGCATGTTTGGGTATTCTCAGTGCCTTTAAAAATGTGAGATTGTAGTCATAGGATCAAATTTAGGTAGTTACTGAACTGCTTATTTTCATTTCATTTTCAGGAATTTATGGTCTTTGAGACTTTGAGACCTTTGAGCACTGGCATGCATACATGGTTACAAATTGGCCAGTTTGCTTCGATGTTATAGTAAAGTTTTTTTTCTGTTTGTGTCTTCTTTGTTTGTTTGTTTAAAATTCATCTCTCCATGATAGTGACAGTGGGATTATGTGAATCACCATACCAAGGGAGTAAGACGTGACAGAATTCAGACTTCAGAATTAAAGGCCTCAAAGTTCTGTAATACCCCAATTAGAGCCAGACAAGACTGTGGAAATCAATAAAGTGAAGAAGTCAATGTAAATTCTTGCTAATAGCCGGAGCTGCCTTTATTTTAGCGTTTTTTCATTTGTGTTTCATTTGCATAATTTACTGTATCCAAAATGACTTTGTAGACAAAATGGAATTTCTGCTAGATCTTGTATTAACATTCAAATAATTTAAAAATCACTTACATAAGTGAAGACATAGCCTACCTTTAGATATCTATCATTGTTAATGTTGATGGGAGAAAAAAAAAGGAAAGAAAATCAAACAAAAATTTGTAGCAAAAGTGTAAGTCAAAAACTGGCTGGTGTGTCCTAATTATATTTGTAATGGTAAAACATTTAAACTGAGTTTTATTCTTTAAAATTCTCAGATGCAGATCGGCATTATGAAATTGCTGGAAATCCTCTGAAGATCAAAAGCACCAGAAAACCACTGTCATGTATCATTGGGTATTTAGGTGGGTATCTTCCTCCAGTGTAAAATAAATCAAATGACTATTTGGTATTTACTGATACTTAGAAATTCTATGTGCATAAACTGAGAGATTTTTGCTTTTAGTAAAAAGAAAACTATAAAATGAATAAATTAACAAATATTCTGGTCTGCTACTGTATTCAGCTGGAAAATTGTATGATTGATCATGGAAAATGTAGGCAAAAGGCCTTCTGATACTGGTTTAAAATGGCAGAGTGAAACCTGATGAAATTTACAATGGGAAAAAGCAGTCTGGTAGTTTGAAAACATTAGCACTTAGCGGGGAGATGTTTGGTATTCTGCGTGCTGTTCTGTGCTTCTTGAATCGATGTTCAAAATTCCCGTTCTCTGATAGAGCAGACTTCAGCCAACCTAAAACACTAACCTTCTCTTAATTTGATGACGCAAATTGTACTGATACTATAGCCAAGAGGATGTGATGCTCACATAAGATAGTGAGGTGGAATTCCAGTCATTGTAATTGTTATTTAAAAAAAAAAAGGAAATAGTCCTCTTTTTAAGGAACTGACAATTAAATATTTACATTATCATCTAAGAGATGAAATACCAGAGAGGCTTTTAATTTATCCTGAAATAAATACCAAAATCAATCAATTGATCAGAAGCAGGGAGAGATTCTGCAGAGTGTCACCACTGTTCTACAGAAGTACAACTCCTTTTAGATATCTCTGCTCAATATTCAAACCAACAGGAGGCTGTTTGTTGTGCAACAAAGTAAACAATAATGGTCTTGCGACTTACTGAAACAGAAATCAGGTATAAATGTGGTTATGACTGTTCTTTCAGAACACCAACTTTAACAAAATTCAAACTTCAAAAAACAGGAGAGTGAAAAATTAATATCCACCGTCACAGAGTTTTGATTTTTCCTCCTTTGGAATGTAAGGAAAATGACAGTGCTAACTTCCTACATGCATCCCTGCCATGCGTTCTTTGTTACTTACGTACAGAAGGGAGGAGAGAAGGGCTGTTTCCACTTACTGGGAAGAGCTGTGGTTGAGGGAGGGGATGGCTCATCTGGTTGGGCCCATTTGTGCAGCCAGAAGAAGAAAGGACAGCATTTTAGGAAATGTTGTATGTTCTTAATGTCGTTTTATCTAGGCTGAAAGGGATCATTTTAGTAACTCTGGGAGCACAGGTCTATAGATTTAATTGGAGTAAATGGATGGATGATGTTAGATAGCATTATGTGCACTTAGGTGAGGGTTTTGTGAAGATGATTAACAATGCTAAAATATACAAGGTATCTGCAGAATCCACTTAGCTTCTGAGTGGATGAGAAGTGAAATATCTCAATACAATAGAAGGCAAACAATGCATGTTATAGGGATACAGAGTATACCCAACATAGTTCTGGGCATACATCTAAGCTAGTTGTGTAAGGATGGCTTGATAATGGCATTTTTTGGGTGGGGAGGGAAAACTGGAAATTAATAGTATGTTCCAGTGAATAAGTAGTGCTTTCATTATTTATTTTAAAATTTAGTGTTAAATGTCATGTGATAACTTACACAGGAGGTAGTTGTTTTCCTTTTAAAATCCCTTCCAGGCCATACCCACAAGCGTTTATTGAAATGCTGTTAACTATTAACTCTTTTGAGCCCTACTGATGAGGCAGAAGGAGGATATCTCTGCTTTGTGCATTCTAGGTCACTGTCTTCCTTTGTCTCTTCTGCTTCAGGGCCACCAGCTCCCCAGGTGGAATAGGTTAAGTATTAAAACTAAGCCCTGTCCTCTAGGGAGCTGGGGTTAATCCCCTGTAATCTCTACAGTCTTCACTGTACTTACAAAACAAACCCTTCTAAAGTGAGTCCCTAGATAATTAAATGCCCTATATTTCCTCTTAGTTATGAGGAAACCAGTCTAGAGTTTCCAGCAGTGATGCATGCTGAGAAGAGATGAGAGAGATCCAACTTCTTAAACACCTATGGAATTCAGGCTGCTTAGTTAGTTAAGTGGCTCAGCAGGAGACTTCAAATTTTCTTAGCTTGCTTTGTATATGTATTGAGTATCTCAGTGACATTAGTGGAAATGGGAGCTTTTAGAGTTTTTATTGCTATTACTTGGGGCTGGAAGCCAGTCGTATAACAAAGGTTCCTAACATGTAATTGAAGTATTGTTTCTCATTTCATTTTTATTTTAATTTCAGAAGTGATCATAGAATCTGAATTTGGCCAGTTGGTTATTTGTTCCATAGCTATTGGGATAATTTGGATTATTTGCATGTTACATTTAGTTCTCTAAGTTAGCAGAAGCTGCAAGTGGATAGGATATTTTCAGTGAAGAAAAGTACTAGGCAGTAGAATAAGGGTAATAGCAGTGGGAATAAAAAGATCCTTAAAAGTGCAAGTATTTGAAGCAAGTCTATAGGTAGAGGATGAGAGTAGATGGTGTAAGGACTCAAACTATTGAGAAATGGTCTGACTGATTAATAAAGTTTTTTTGGTTCTGCTACTTTACTCATCTGCAGAAAGAGAAAAGACTGTTTAAATGGCAAACTGAAGAAATCTCATAGGAAGGAAATGCATCCTTTCTCAGCTGGTAGCACTTTTTAGAAATACAGAGTTATATCTCCTTTATACTGTAGATGGAAGGAGTTTGAGTTCTAGTCTGATGATCCAGCTTTGGGGATTATTTTGTTTGCTGCTGGAGCTCTTTTGCAAATAGATAATATTTTAGTGGTATTAGCCCTGAATATTAATCATTTCCTTCTGAAAATTGAAAGAGATTGCCAAAAGAGCATTTTGGAATCAAAGCTCTTAAGTAAACAGTGAGAACATCAGAGATATTGAACTAGCCTTTACATGTGCAGCCTTACAGGACTGTCTTGCAGTTACCAGAACCCTGGTTTTAATGTCATTCTAACAACTAAAAATGTTATTCTGCTTCACTCTTTTTAATCTGAATCTCTTGAAACATCTTGGATAAGAGTGTTCTTTTTTATCTGAATCTCTTGAAACCATCTTGGATAAGAGTGTTCATACTTTTAAGAGTAAGATTACGTGCTGTGACCAAAACATTGGACAGTTAACCATAGTCTTCCAGTGCAAAGTTTGTTGGTCCTTTCTCACTATGCAGCCTGCCTGACTCCCTCTGGCCATCATACTCCTTTCTATAGATAAGGCTGTTTGGCTCTCCCACCTCCCTATTTCTGCTTATTAAAGATTACTGCGGCTGCCTCAGACCTTTTGCAGAGCTCCCTGACTCCTGGTGTGGGTAGGTGTGAAGGTTTGCAATGAGAATGGCATGTGGTGCACTCTGATATTGGGCTATAGTACTTGTGGAAGAAAAAAATGTGCTATCAGAGTGGACTTTGACTCCTGTACAACAGTTTCTCCTGCATAATTGCTATGAATAGCAGAGGCGAAGGCCCTCTTCTTTGGACATCATTCCTCCTTTTAGATGTTATGTATTCCCAGCTCGTGTGCTTTATTTTATAAACAAACAAACAAAAAAAAGCAGAAAGGATCACTTTTCAGGTGCAAACCTGGGCTACTGAAGTACTTCATTTTTATTTTTTCCTTCTTTTCTTCCTCTCTGCAGATAGCTGGCTCCTGTTTCGCTGGCCAGCCACCCCTGCCCTGTCAGAGGGCATCTCTGACTGGCGGTGGACTCAGGTGGCAGGTCTCAGCTGGGCCACACGCCTCGGGCAGCCTGTGTGGCATTCGTTGCTGCTGCCCAGTGCCTTTGCCAGCTTCATCTGGCAGGTTACTGTGAAATTTCCATACAACTGCACCAGCTTTTGGCAAACTAAGCAGCTACCTGCTCTGAATCCCACTGGGCAGATGAGTTTCACTGCCTTTTATGTGCTTTTCTTCTTCCATCCCTGAAGTAATCCTCCTGTGTGAATTCTTTCAGGTGCTCTCGAATATTTGAATCCATAATAACGGTTCTGTATTGAAGTCTGGTAGTGCCTGGGTAATGATGTTGCAGTTTTGGGGTAGTGCTGTAGCTCTCTCCCTGATCCTTGCACTTAGCAACCTGTATTTCAGACGATCCCTTAAAGCTTGCTCTTTTGACAGAAATTTTTGAATAACGTAAGACACTGAGGTGGCTTCGCTGTTGTAAAATGCTTTTGTTTCCTTGATTAACAATTTGTAGGTTTGTAGTTCCAATACAAAACCCAAAAGAGGAGGGAAATGAAAACACAGAGCTGTCTCAGTTTGATCTCTATTATCTCTTCACTTGTGAATACCTTACACCATTGCAGTGAACTCAGGCAATGTAAAATTAAATTGATTCTTCCTTATTTGGAAGAATAATAGGCATGAAGGTGTGTTCAAATTGTTATTCAAGATACTATAAACACATTCATGCTGAAGAAAACCACTTCTGTTTTACTAGAAATTAAAGTGTAAATTTAGTAAACCAAGTAGACTAAAAGCTTTATAAATCAAGTCGGTCTTTCTCTCTCTCTCTCCCTTTTGTCTTAAACAGAGATTCACCCTGCAGCGAAACCCAATGTAATCAGATCAACTCCGAGCCTTCAAAGTCCAAGTACAAAACGGCTGCTTGCACCCCCCAATCACTCTTCACTAAGTATTTTGGGAAAAAGGAACTACAGCCATCATAATGGTCTTGATGGTAAGTGAAAGAGTATAAAAGAAACATTCTATTAAATTTCTGAATTGCACAATGTTCTGTGGACCTGAAACAGCAAAGTTTTATGACTTTTCTGTAGGGTGTATGTTTTTAAAAAATGATGTTAAATAAGAAGGCACAGTCATAGAAACTTAAGGTATAGACAGCATATTTTCAGCACTCGTAATGCAATTAATGGTAATGCATACTCACTGAGCGTGAGCATTCATTAATGCCATTAATGCCATGTCTTACAAAACCTATTTGTACCATTTTTCTTACTAATCTTTCACCTTTACTTAAAAGCATAAGAAAGGAATAAAGCAAATTTAGTGAAAAGAGAAAGATGCTGCAAATGCTTTACTTTGCTTTATTGTGTTTTTATTTGAAAAAATATTTTGCAGAGATATGCATTGCATTTCTTGAATTCTTCTTGTGAGATATAACTTCTGTAAGCAATTAGATTATTTGCTGTGTGGTGTTGCAAGTAGAAAATCTGAAAGAAGTTAGGCTCTGAAAATAGGCTGTCGAGACATGATTAGCACAAAAGAAGTGCCTTTCTGTTTTCATGTTTCACGGGTCAAGGTAGAAATGAGAAAGATTCTTTTTAGACAAGATAATAGAAATACTATTCCAAATACAGGAGTGAAAGCTCAATCCATTATTTTACCAGAACAATCATGCTTTTCTGTCATTGCCAATGTCATTTGTATCTTGCAGTGAAAATACCTACTGTACGTTTAACAATACCTAGAAATCACTAAATTTTTTTACAAAAAGTGGTTATTTACTATATATGTATGACAGGATCACTTGGACATTTCCTCATTGTGCAAACAACAATCACATGGTAGGCAAATAACATGCATGGCAATGCAAGCTATTCAATGGACTAAGATGACAACTGTGTGATAAAACAATGATACCATTAATAGGCATAGCTAAAAATGCTGTACGTTTCACACAGCAGAATTTTCACTGTGGACATTCATTGTGAAGTACTGTAGTGCTGATCTCGTAGTTTCTGCATGTGATTGTGAACAAAAGCTGCTTTTTCTCCTCTCTAATGCTGGCCATTAGACTGGACTGTCTTTGTAATCTTTGAGCGAAGAATGAATTTCACCTGGAAATAAAGATTTTGCTACATTTCCACAGCAAAGAAAACTATAGCAATAAGTTCAAGGTAAACATTATTGTGATGATATCCCTTTAAAGAGATGAGCTTCATAACATTTCTTCTATTTATTTTGAATGTTCTCTTCCACATGAAGTATTTATAGAACTTGTTATTAGCCACATTGATTACTTTGTATCAAATACATAACTGTGTTAAGACAATTTGACATAAGAGCAATTTAAATCTAATCTAAATCTAATTTGAAAAATTACTATTGAGAACTGTAAATTGTTGCTTTAGGAGATAATTATTTCTACTTATCTATTTTCTATTAAATCATAAAGAAAGCATATATCCAAGGTAATAGAAATCTGGGAAGTGTATTTTGTTCATATAAAAATGAGTATTTTGATTCTTGTCCTAGTTTTCCCTTTAGTTAAAAGCTTGCAAAGTGTAGTCAGTGCAAACTGCAAAATAATTTCTGACACACTGGCTGTGATACAACAGTGATCATGGAAATATAATTTGCATTAGACTACTTTGTTCTACCAAATCAAACAGAAGTTTAATAAACACTAAACTTAGTTAATGGCCAAAACTTATCTTTTGTTGACGATCCTTAACAGTCTTAACAATTTTTTCAGCATAAAATCAGTTGCATTATCATCCTCTGCCACATATCAGCCTTAACCATAATTTTTGTTTAGATCATTGCTGGCTATGATCACTTGGATCATCTTAATCTCCATTTTTCAGTAGTGGTTGTGGTCCTCTTGGCTTTTTTGTTTCCAAAATACTATTGATCGTTTCTGGTTTTACTGCATTAATTAGAAAATTCCAGAATTATTCCAGAACAGTATTAGAATATTTTTTTAAGCCATAGAAGTATGTTTACTTAAGATATACAGTATTCAAGTAAATGTCACCTAGGCCTTTGTAAATATATTTTTAGGTTAGCCTATTTCAAGTCAATTGTATTGCCCAGGTGAGTTGAGTGCTGCATTTTTACAGAATGTCATACTAACAAATCTATGAAAGAGAAGGGGAAGACTGAGGAAAAACCAGTAATGTATGGTTTAATACTTTTAAGTAAGTTATGATGGAATAAGAACTTGATTACCATTTCTTAGGGAAGTCTTACATTGGCTTAAGTCCTTACTATGGCCAATGCAGTACAAGATTCTTTTTCATGTCCCATGTGTGACTCTCCAGCAAAAAAATGGTGCAACTGATATAGATGAGGAAGTGTGTCATTTTCAGACCATAATTCCTTGTTAACTGAGGGAGCTCATTCATCTCTTTTTGGAAATAGGGAGGCTTATGCTTAAAGATCTGATTATCAATCACACATGGCTAAGAGACATAGTTCTAGTTCTATGCATCCACACATAATTCATACACCTGAATAAAACAACACTGCTTAAGTGCTATTTATAGTACTATGGCTATTATTATGGACTGTTGGTGTTTTCAGAAGAAAGGTTGCAATCAGAAGCTGTTTTTTTTGTTTTTTTTTTCACAGTTAAAGATCTTCTATGTGTTTGTGTTCTCTCCTGTAGGAGGGAGAATTTTTCTGAATGATATTAGAAAAGTGTTTTTTTTTTTTGTCTGTTTTCAAATAACAGGACATCTTGCATTCTGTAGGATAGAAAGAAAAATATTAGAAAGTTTTTTTCTATTCTGGAAAAATGCACAGCATCAAGTAATATGCATGCTGGTGCTTTAAACTACTCTGAGATACAGAATTTCCATTGCTGCTGTAAAGAAAATCAACACGAGATATTTAAATGGTTTTCGGTAGTGAAGGCAGTCTCTTTCAAATAGGGAAATTTATATCTTCAGAAGATCACAGCGTTGCAGAATGTTGTTTGCTGGATTTGATGATTATAAGACTTAGGAGTGACTATGAGGTGCTTTGTAGATATTTTGAATCTGATCTTTAAATTACTGTGTGAATTACTGAAATTATTTCAAACAATTACTTTCACTCACAAGATGCTTGTACATCCAAGTAATTTGAGTTTCACGTCAGGATGTTGTTTTGGTAGGATCTGTAATGATAATTTTCCATATAGTGTTTGGAAAGATCAGGTAAAGTTATTTTACATTAATGTAATCTCTGTCAACTGACAGCTGTTTCTTTGCTTTTATATGCATCAGAACCAAGAATATCCACAGGATGTCCGAGATGATACAGTCACTGATGGAGTATAGAGATTATTCTGTACCCAGTGATACCAATCTTATTACTCATGGGCAGAAGTAGAAGTTGTTCATAGCTGAAGAAATTTTAATCAACAACTATGATCCCATTTTCCTCTTTTGAGACCTTCAGTGCTGTATTTCAGCCTGAGATGTCTCGATAACTTCAAGAGGATTCTTTCAACAGTCATACTTCAGTTCCTCAGGGAATAAATTACTGAAGGATTCAGCTGTATCTAAGAAGGAGAAAGAAATTTAATTGGCCCATTTTTGTAGGAACCCATGCATCTCTATCGTAGAAAGATAAGAAAGTGACGTGAGGAATTGACAAAGTGAGAAAGACCTCAAAAAATTGTACCTTCTCTCCTAGGTGCTATTTTGATCAGTCTCTCTTACTCCGTTTATGATTAATAGTATTGGCTATTGAAGAGATAAACAAGGAAAGAAAGCTTATATTTTACTCCTGTTTTTTTTTTTTCCATTGGGAATTTGAAACTCTCCATCAAATATATGAAACTCTAAGCTGCCTAACTGACAAGCAGAGAGTCTAAATCTTTCCTACTCAAAATTTCTTGAAACAGAAAATATATATATATATATGTTTCCTTGGAATTTATTTCGTATAACCTTGTGTGAAGATATGTTAGGAAGAAGATATTTTCACTATTGGATTGAATCTCTCAGCAGAGACAGATCTCTTTTCACCATGGTGTCTGCTTTTTTTGTTATCAGAATATTAGTTTTGGTAAAACTAGAGAAGTTCTACCAAGGTGGCAGATTACAATCATGGAATGCATATTGAAAAACATCAGATACTCCATTCATTTTAAAAATAAAACCATGTTTTTTTTTCATACATATGCTTCATGTTAATAAACTATATGCCCACCTAAATTGTTTTAAACTTCATATTATATACCAGTCATTTGAAAACTGAAAGAGAAGAAATGAGATGTGGTAAGCTATTGTGTGAATCTTCTGTAACCATTTCCCCTGTGCTGAAACAAAACGTGCAGTTAATAATGAATTGTGTACCCATTTTTCTGAAAAGTGAGAAACAAATGCTATTTATTGTTTTAAAGCCAGATTTTTTTTCTCTGAAATTTTCTGTGGAAATGTGTGTGCTAGTTTTGATCTTTGCTATAACTAGTAAAAGTTTTGAAATACTTGGCTACATATCGTACTTCAGTAAAGAACTGAAGTATGTGCTCTGAAATTGATGGAAATGTGAGTACAGGAAGTAGATTTCTCTGGAGATGTGGGTATTTCTGTAATGTTACTTCTATTTGTTGGGCAAGCAGACTCGTCAGTGAAAGAGTCATTTACAACTCTTTGTTATTTCCCAACTTATGTATGACTCAGAGCTTTTATTTATATGAAGATAGGAAATGCTTCATTTGTAAGTCTTCTTCACTTACATTCAATTCTGAGAACTTCAAAATAGATTAGCACACGTGCCTTGATGTCTCACTTTGAGCATTCTGTGCATTGCTTCCATCTTGTTGGACTAAGGAAAATCTGAAACTGGCAGTTTCAGATTGTAGGATGAGCAATCTAAATGGGATCACAGGGGGAGCTGAGGGTATTCCACGGTGAAGTGTCCCCTGAGCTGTCCCCAGTTTCTGCTGCTAAATAAGAATATATTTTTATACATATGGATAATGTGTAGGCATTATTTCACAGTAATGCAATCTTTTATAATTGGCAGAATAAACCAGCTCTTAAAACAGTAAACAATTAGAACAACTTTATAATCAAATTAGCTCACAAAACAGTGCAGGTGGTCATTCCAGGAATTAGGCTCTGGTTACTTTCCAGTGGTAGAGTTTTAAAGAATTAAAGTTGCAGAAAGACGATCCTATCTGCTGGTTAATAGGGTTAGGAGCATAATTACCTCACAAATTACATGCACTGGATTTGAGATCTGGAGTTTGTACTTAGTAATTCTGTGTATGATTACTGCCAAGTGGATTGATTATTTATTGTAAGCTATGATTGCAAAGTACAAGTTTATTGCATAATGTGATACGGAAGGCACCTTCAGAAAACTGCTTAAGCAGTTTAACTGCAAAGTTCCTGCATCTGGGGAAGATACTTTTTGATACGTTTGTATATTTCTGTGTTCTTTTGCTTTTCTTGTCTTTCTCTAGCGTTTCAGATTTTGATCTTGGAAGACGAAGAATCATCCTTAAATAAATTCAAACTAATTCTTAGTTTAAGATTATATACAAGGCAATGATAAAGCTTATTTATAGGGAAAGGTTTATATAAGGGCAACTTTCACCTGCTAGTCTTGCTGATCACCCTGTAAATATGTATATTTAATAATAAAAATTAAAAGTTTTCTATCAGCAGACTGACTAAAGACTGGGCTCCATCAAAAGAGGGTAATTTATCATATATGAGATAGTAATTAAAATTTCTGAATGTTATAAGTCTCAATCTCCTTCTGCCATTTAAAATAAAAATCCATGAAAATTCTCATGTGAAGGACAATGTAGTTTCATAGAGTTTTTCAAAATGGGAATAGTTATGGAATTATTTTGTTACTGTTTGTATTTTTTCTACAATGCTAATCATTTATGAAAATTAACTGTGCCGCAGTTTAAAAGCAACATAGAAAAAATTTTTGAGATGTGAAATATGAATTAGTTCTTTTTTTTCATTTTCTTGCAGAAGTGGACAATTAAGAATATAGAATAATGAGTGCAAGTAACAGTATACTTTTATCTGCTATGTATTTTCAGTGATGATTCTCATGTTTGTTTCATGAGACCTCTTCCCAGTCCCTGCATTTCTGATATGCTCCTTGTTGTAGCCGTGCAGAAACATCTTATATTTCAGGGTAAACGTAAGAAAATAAGGTTTTTATGAGTAAAGACAATATTCTAATGCACTGTGGTTCTTCTGTTTTCCAGAATCATCCAGCCACTCTACAAGAACAATAATGGTAAGCATAAAGGAAATTTTAGGTATAGATCAATCTATAGAAATGATTTGTCCTTTGAACACAAATTAGGTATGGTAACTTTATAAGACAGCTTGCTAGCAAGTTTTCATATAAAGTCCACTGCCACTGTTGAGTTTAAGTGAGTCATTTCATGGGAAATCTTGAAGAAAATGTGAGGGTGAATAGTTTAAGAAATCGCAGTACTGGCAGGTAGATATATGAATATCCAATTACAATGCTGGTATTATGTTTTTAAGAGACTTTTTAATTATGTCAAATTAAAGTTGATTAAATCTCTTACACTGTATGTATATATCATGTCAGAGAATGTTTAAAGTTGAAAACATGTTAAGTAATGTCTTGTATCACGTTCCTGTGAGGTTGGTTTCTGACTTTATCTTAAGTTTGATAGTTTGTGTTCCAGGGACAGTGAAACACTTAAACTGACTGATAAACTTCTAAAAAGTTAGATTAAAAAGTTCTGTGCATAAAAATGTCATTGATTTCATGTCTGTCTTGGGTTTTTTATAGAGTGAGACATTCTATCAGTCTCTTTCTCTTTCAGCCTCCTAATAAAAGTTAGATAAGGACTGAACAAAAATTAAAGGATAAGACTGACTAGGAACATGCCCATCTAGCAGGGATTTGGGGTGAGGGCTATTCACTTTGGAAAAAGATGAATTTTTTGAGGCAGACTTTTCAAATTTTAAAACAACCTGAAAAAAACATGATGTCACTAGAGCCTTTGTTGTCACTCCTACAGTTTTCAGTGTTAATTTAAAATAATTACCTCTTAGACATGTGCAGCATTTGTGGGACATGTGAATTCCCACACGGAAACTTGATTCAACACAGAGGAAAGGGTAAATGTAATTCATTGCATTTATCACCAATAACCATTAATAGTCTAATGCTAATGGATAATAAATTGGTTAAGACCACAAAAATTCAAAGCAGTGGAGACATCTGAAAAGCAACATTTCATTTTTCTACTGGGTGTGATATAATCCTTGCTGTGATTAATTGTATTGAAGTAGACTTGTTTCCACATAAGAAGTTTAACCAGTAGAATTTCTGTGCTGTAACATGTTGAAAGGGATTGAAAAATTTTTCAGTATTTTTCAAATTTTGCACTGATGTCAGAAAAAGAGCTAAAGGTTAAGAGACTGTTGAAAAGAACATTCTTCATTTCCCTGTAATTTTTTTCCCTGTTAATTTTCCTCCAAAGATAACACGTATTTTGACAGTCTGTCTTCTCAGTGTATCAAAACAGCTATAAGAACTTAACCAAAGAAATGTTCTTTTCCTATACAAGTGTGTCCTTACACAAAATATGGCCAAACTTTTGAGGCAGTAGGAGAGAGGTTTTTGAATAACTTGAGTTCTCAACCTCCTTGCATTCTGAGCCTCCCCAGACCTGCTTGCTGAAAGCTCAGACCTTTCAGACTAATGCTGTGCAACCAAAGCAATGCTGTAGTTGTCCACTGCACTTGAATAAATAGAAGTGTAATTAAAAATACGTACACTAATTAGACGGTGTCAAAAGGCTATGACAGTGCCCACTCTTCTCTAATAAAATAACTGAATGTGCAATGGAAAATTTCTTACCGCTCAGTGGGGAGATAATATCACAAAAGCCAGAAAATGTATTATTCAGCACATTAGAAGCAGTATGAGAGTGTCTTTTCAATGCAGAGATAGTAAAGCAATACTGTCGATGTCCATTTTTGAATGACTACTGCAATAAATAAATTACTTTGAAATTAAGTCCACATGTTCTGACTGATTAATTTTCTAACAGATACAAAATTAAGCATAATATTTAATCAAACAGAATGAGAGAAAAATAGCATAAGTAAGACATTAAATCTGATCTTTTCTGTGAAGTTTCAGATTTGTGTTTAAATCAAAGCCAGTGTGGAATAGAGTGTACTTTGCTATGAAAAAGAACACGCAGCTTTTCTGAGAACACTACGTATATCTTCATTTTTTAAAGCTCAAGAATTCTGCATTCAAATACAATCATTCTCCTCTATTGTTTGTTTCAGCTTCCTGTTCATAAAAATGAAAAACCTAGAAAACTGCTTAGGGGTGTGTTTGTATGTGAGGGGAATGAGGGTCTTCTCCATTTTAAGTATAAAACAGATTTCTTGTTATTCTATGAATAGATGGCTGGGATAGTCTTTCATTACTAATTTTACTGATCTATATAAATAAACATTTACTTCAAAGTGCTGCACTTAAAGATGTGGTTTATTCAGAGGTTATATAACTTTTGTGTAAATTCTGTTAAATGCTATGAACATGGTAGTAGTTTAGCCTGGAAAGTTAGCCTTTTCTTAATCTTCTTGCACAGAAGTCATTGACTAGGATTTTCAGAATTAATTCTAGTCTAGGCATTTTGTTGAAGATAAAGTAGCAATGAGAATGTTCAAAATGGTACTTCTGTAGACTATTTGTTTAATTTCTTGCATATGATCTATTGTTTTGATTACCTTTAATATCCTTCAGGTTACTTGAATGAATTTCTATATTAGAAGCGAGTCCATGTAAACATATTTTTTTGCATTCGTCTCAAGTCTCCCTAAGTAAACTAAACTAGCTCCAAACTTTGATTCTTTTGAGAGGGATAATGTCTGAGCAGATAAGAACTGCTTAGATCTGGAAAAAATAAAAATAAAAAAAATCAACACCTAATTTAAACTCAATGTCTAGATGTGGTTTACATGATATCCTGTATAACTAGGTCAATTAAATAAATTGAAGCAATTAATATGAATTACTGCCAATTATGTTAAGCACGTGATTTCTTCTAGTGATTTGTTCTTTGTCTAGAGATCTTATCTTACCATTGGATTTTGTTTGAGAAAAAAAATTTATATGAGAAAAAATGTAAACCACAAACAACCAAACAAAACCCACTGATTTAGGCAGTGGAAAAATGTCTTTTCAGGATGGGAAGAGGGTTAGGTTTGAAAAATTCAAAGCCAGTTAGGATTTTATGATAATCCAGGTAAACATTTTTTCAGTCACAGCCAGCATAGACATTCCTCATTAATTTTTACATTACACTTTTAGTGCCTGCTGGTGTTATGTGCTTACTTCAAACACTTTTTTATGTATCTTCTGTGTAAAAAAGAGCATTGCATTCACTGAGAATTGGAGGTGCCTCACTTGTGCTCATTAGGAAATGAAGAGTTGTGTACACAAATGGGAAAGTCATGTCCCTGCCAGGTGGGTGCTGATTAGCAGCACTTGCAAGCAGCTGTCAAAAATGGAGCTGCATACCTGCCTGTGTGTGGATTAAATACCAGAGAATGGCACCCCTGCAGAAATGTTGTAGTGGGGGACAGGTGGCACTGCGAAGCTGCTCTGACAAACACACAATCATCCCGTAAACTCATCATCAGAGACTTGCTGAACACATTCAGAAGATTACTTGTTTTCAGAAGTCTCTGAGAATGTCTTAGAGTCCTCAGCATGGAGACCTCCTTCCTGGCAGGTGAAACTGTTACTGGAGATTACTCTGTTCTGACTCCAATCTTTATTGAATGCACCACGTTGCCTTAAAGTTGTGATGGGGATTTTTTATTCCCTGCTTGGGCTGTAAGGCTGACTGGTGACAGCTTTGTTTTCTCACCAAACTTTCAGTGCATGCATTTATCAACGCACTGAAGCAATATGTGATCAGGACACTTTTCTCTATTGGGCCTAACACCGAACTGTGGTGTGGAGGTGCCTTTCTAGGCATCTCACTTACGCTCAGAAATGTGTTTCAAGGAGTTATTTGTTGTGACATGTGGACAGACTCTAAACATCTATTTCCTCAGTTTACCTCTAGGAGGCTTTGCCCAAACCACACCTTCTTGTGCTTTGTGTTTCTCTTCCAGTTGCTCTCAGAAGTTTTCTCATAGTGTCTTTGGGGTGTAGAACAGTTTTCTTCTAGGGATACAAGACAGCAGAATGAATGCATTCAGTCTGGAATAAGGAAGAATGTGTGAGGAAGTCATCACTTATTGGGAAGGTAGATTTGTCCAACGTGCAGCTGGCAAACTCTGAGTAAGCCTCCTGCTGATCTGCACTTTCCCACTGTTATGTGGACCTGGCATACCTGCGATTTGTTGAAAATGGCAGCACAGCTTATTAGTAAAGGAAATACTCAAAATCAAAATGCCAGCTGCTAGTTGCACACAGTAACGTTACAACGAAATTATCCTAGCATTCTGTGTGCATGATGTTTGAGTAGAGCTTCTGTGGCTGTACTAGCAATGTTCCTGAGGCATCCATAATCCATCTACAATTGTATATGCTCACAAAGTAAAAAAGAGAAACATTAAAAAAAAAAAAAAAAGGGAAAAGAAAGAGCATTTAAAAGTACTCCGTATGAAAGGTCTGTTTGCTCTGGGTATTGATGTTAGTATGACCGTTTCACTGAAAGCTCATTTTAATGCACAAAGGTAAATATATTTTTTAGAGGAACTAATTGAACTGATTTTTCTACTTTTAAATTGTTTGAGAAATTCAATTGTTTCTATTAACTGGAAATTAAAGATAATGTGGTCCCTTGCACAAAGACTGGTCTTTAAGCAAAGCATAATTAATTTCTCCAGATAAATTGAAAGGACTCACGGAGAAGAGAAATACAAGGAAAAACAATCATTATGATGTGAGAGAGAGGAGACAATGTTGTAATCTTTGCACTATTTTCTGTAATACTATATCTTGCCTGGAATAAGAATAAGATTCTGAGAAATGGGGAAAAAAACAGTTCAGGACTAGTATTGACATCTGTCTTTACCACAGAAAAAGTATTATGAAAAAAACCCTATAATTTTTCTATAAGGCTTAACTGTTTTACAAAGTTTTTGCAGTAGGAAATGCACTTCTTGTATGTTGTATGATTCCTAAGCATACTTTGCATGTTTATGATTGTCTTGAGTGAGGACAACATTCAGTGGCATATTAGAAAGGAAAAGATACTAACCATTATATGTGAGAACTTAAACTTGTTTCTGGCTGGGGAAGCAAAAAAAAAAATAAATTGCTCTTCAGTCCCTTGAATGGTCCTCTGTAATGTATGGCACTGCCTTCTGCCAGGTAAAAATAATCACTTTGAATATAGTATGAAATCAGTACATCTGGGCTGTATGACTGCATTTTCTATGCATGAATTGTTGCTCACTTTTTGAGCAGTATCCGTTTTGTGCACTAAGACATCAATCAGTTAAATACCTTGGATCAAAAAACAAGTAATTGGTTGGGATATTGAGTTTTGATCAGAAAAATTTGCAAAGTGAATTTGCTCCCAAAATCAACAGGTTTCTCTTGCAGACTTGCTTCGTTCATGACATTGATTCATGCTTCGCTTCTCTTTTTACAAGTGGGTTTTAAAAAGCTTTCAGTTCTGTGGCTAAAACATGTCACTGTGCACAGATGATCAGGAGATGTTATCTAATTGGTAGGTACTTGTTTGAGAAGAATTAGCTGTTTTTTTGAGAATGACAGTGTGTGTAGGCTGCCCTTTACAGCAGAATCAGTTAAGAGAACTATTCTTGTTCTCTGGCAAATATCTTTCCTTTTTTTTTTCCTTATGATTTCAGCATGCTGCTCCCCGCGTTCATATAACTAATGGCAAGTCCTTGCAAGCCAGTGCAAGTACCATTAAGACAAGCGCCATTCCAGTGATAAAGAGACAGCGGCAAAATTGGCTTGATGCTTCAGATGATGGTTTCTTTATAGCCACGGAAGAGACCAGGTAAGAGAAATGAAACTGAAGCAGGGAAAAAGCCTTAACTGCAAACATGCTATTGATTCACTATTTGAATAACAGTTTTTGTCATTATTGTTTGAGGTTGTGTTAGAGTGAAGAGCCATGATACATCAAAACGTACACCCAATTTTCATCTCTTGCGTATTAATGTTATCAGTGTTTCACTTTTTCAGTCTTATACTTTGTGTGGCAGAGGTTAGAACTTTTAAATTGTTACTAATTGTAGTTCAAATACAATGAAGTTTATGGCTGATCACCCAGCAAAGTGCACGCGTCTCCACAGTGGAGGCTAAACTAAAATTTTCAGAACTAGAAAAATATATAACACAGAAAAGAGAAATATATAGCAGCCAGCGTCTTTTCGGGAATATTAATTGATTTCCAACTAAGGTAACAGTCTTCTTCAGTCTGTCATTTCCAAATTAATTGATAAAATTTAATTAACGTTTACTTTTCCCAGAAGAGTTTGATATCACAGAAGGATTACTTGTGTAACATCAGACTGATCTTCAATTCTGTGATTATTTCACAGACCTATAAAGGCTATCAGTCAAAGAAAAATGTCAATAATAAAATAAGAGTAGGGATAATATATGTAAATATAGAGCTAACCAAGAAAAATACACATACTTAACTTGATTTATGGTAGATATTCTATGTGATAATTTAGTGGTTATTTCAAGATCATTTAAACATAGTACTTCATTTTCTTTTGCATGAGAGGTTTTGCAATTCAGAGATAATAGTAGGAGAATGATAAGCTCTTAGGCTTCTGATGTCTACCTCAGTGATAAAATTCAGTGCTTGCCTGATACTGCTAAGCGTGTATAGCCACTATCAAACAAGTCCCTAGTGAGTATATCACCAAAATGTGACAGGTAATAGTACCTCAACCATAACAAGTGCAACATTCAAAATTGAAATTAGTGTGAGACAGCAGCTTTTGTCCCTTGAAACTCCATTTCATATGACATTGTTCCTTCTCTCTCGCAGGTCTTTTCCTTTTTTTTTCTTCTTTTTTTTTCCTTTTTTTTTTTTTTTTTCCCCAGTTGATTCCTTCCCTAACTCCAGGGATGTTTTCTCCTTTCTAACTTTTTCTTTTGTTTTTTTTTTTTTTTTTTTAGATTCCCTTCACTCTTATTCTAAGATTATTTGAAAGAGATATGGTGTAGCTCATTCTCTTCTTGGCTTTCATTTGCCTCTGGCCTTTGTAACTTGAAGTGGAAAGCCCTACCTGGTCCTGCTGCTGACAGTGTACTGGAGTTTCAGACAGTTATTAAATGTTCTGCTCCTTGGGAGAGAAGGCATTGGTCTAACAGTTGACCTGCCTTGTGATAGGAGTTCATACAGTTGAGCATGGCTGTGACATAGTTGAATGCAGCACAATTGCAATGGGAAAAGATATCTTATATATGGAGGAGATGGCTGTGAAAGCAAAACACAATTTACCCAGTCCTACCATAAAATGAAAAAGGAAAATACTTCAGTGACCAGTTTGCAGCCATTAAAAATTTGCTGAATGCTCATTTTTAATGAAATCATCACATTTGAGCCAAGATACCAACTTGGTTTTTTTAAGGCACGTTTCCCTATTTTTCTGCATCCTGTATGTTTCATCATGTGTATTTGTTAAAAATACACGTGAGAAAGACATATGCTAATTACAATATTTTTTCAGTATAATATTTGGATTGATATGGTGCAGAACAGTTTTCATTTCTGTCCAAAAACATTTTTGCTTGTGCAGTGAATTAAGGTTTAAGGTACATATTTCTATAAAACCTCCAGCAGTAAATCTAGATTTTCTCAGACATTTAGCTAAAAAATTATACCACAATAATGTAATCCTTTTGGTTCTAAACTAAATGATGTGCCAGTCAATTTCATTCTAACCAAGCCAAAGATGTATAACGTAAGCATTCAAAACATTATTGTCTTTCAATAGGTAAGATGAGTATGTTTTTATGCCTGTACTTTTATGTTAAATGGTATTTTTAAAGAAATTATTATCATTCTTCCCACCTCTGAATTTAAGCTCCAATCATATTTCTATAAAGTTCAATACTGTATGTCAGATTGTTCAGATTCCAGGGTATTGGTAGTGATGGATGAGTAGGGTTCTAAGAATTCAGAGCATGGAAAGTAATTAAAGAAATTACAACTAGTCTAATTTTTTCAAGGCAATCCTTGGTATTATCCTAGAATTTTAAGACCACGACCTGAATGCCTATTAGATATTTCTGACACCTGCGTGAGTTCAGCTTACTTGGGATTTCAACATCAGTTGAAATCAAAGCAGGAATTAATCTAGGTGAAAAGTAGGTGGCAGTTCAAAAGCACTTACCGTAAAGATACATCATAATTTTATGTTGAACTTTAATGAATTTAATATTTTCATATTTTTCTTTATTCATTCACTTCCTGAATGAAAAAGAAATTTCCTACTCTAAAATAACTTGCTCAAGTTTTTATTCTAAAGTGCAAAATCTATCTACATGATTCACTGAAAAATCACTCTTTAAAGAGCCTTACATTCATCACTACCCACCAAGGGAGTCTACTTATTTCCTTTTAATATACTTTGATATTAGCTGCTGGGATTGTCCTACCACTATGTGTATAATTGAGATCAGACAATAGTCTCATAGCTATAAAAGAATTTTATTCAAATCATTGTACTAAATCACTTTTGCCATAAGGAACTTTTTGAGTTTTATTCCCATTTTGTTGACTAGCTGTAACATAGATTCTATTGTAGGCTCTTTTAGAGGTTAATGCAAAAAATAGCTACCGTGTGTGAAATTAAATTCTTTGTAATGAATTACCATTCTGGGTCTTATATAATAATTGGGAAAATTCTTACTGTCTATTGAAACTTAATGAAAATGTAATATATCAGCTTAATATCTGTTGAGTTATATAAGACAATTTGTAAATAAAACTAGTAATCCATATAGCTGTTGGATGTCAAGGAAAATGTATCTGTAGATTTTTATTTTTCATAACACTTCTAGGTATGCAATATACATACTGTTTCTATACATAACACTCTGTCCATAACAGGACATGTGTGTGCTGTCGATCATATTTGTATAGGGACAGCTAAAATATTGTTTAAAAATGACATTTTTTTCAGCATTTGAATTATAAGAAATGTCTGGAAAGGTTTGACTGGAAGGGTTATAGCTGCAGATTCCATATGCTTTCCCTTCATGCGCCAAGAAGCATATTTGCATATAGAACTACAGTTGAATGACTCAATGCTTGTTTCCTTTCAGCGCTGAAGCAGTTAGAAACCTTCTCACGGTAAGTGCAACTCCATTGGGAATGAGTTAACTGCAACTGTTAAAATTAGAATGTGATCTTTAGCTGTTACCAGCAGACACTGCTTCCTTTTTGCTGATAAAATGGTTTGAGGCATCCCTGTGCCAGTATTATCTAGGCAATTTTCATATTCTTCACATCATGTTCTTCCTCTCGAACATAAAAGCTTCCCTTGATTTTTTGAGGTACTATGTAAGGATATCACAGTGTTTATGATAATTACTTGATAGCACTCATTTTTACTTATGCATGTCTCATAAGCACACACAAAAGCTTAAAGCTAAAGTTGCATGTTGGAAAAAAAAAACAACAAAAAACAAGAATGTGGTGCTCACAAACTAAGTTCAGCAAAATGTTGTGTCTTGCTTTTGCCTCTCCATGATTGGATCACAGAGCACAGTGCCCTTTCATTTCTTACCTTCATGGAACTGTGGCCATGAGACTCCCATTCTGTATCTGACTGCATGGAGATGCTTGACTGCACACTTGGAGAATCAGCTGCAAGTTAACAATGCTATGCACCAGCTGCAAACCTCTAATCAGAAAATAAATAAATAACTATCTAAGGATGCATTTTTCTGATTCCTTTACTTCTGCTGGATTATATCACTGTCATACATCTTGAAAAGCGGGGATTATAGCATTAGAATATCTCTTTTAGGATTATGTCTAATCCTTGTTGATAGGATTGTAAATATTGATTGGATGCATGTGAGTTCAGGTGAGTGTGCAATCATTTCTAGTACAATACAGCAGATGGGGAGTTTGGGGAGGAATTGTCCCTGCTCCAGGTAGAAGTCCTACATGGCTAAGTAGTATTCAAAGTTGCTATATTTTGTTACTTTCCTCAGAGCAAAAATCTAAGAATTTCAGTGAACTGCTATTTTAACCTTATTTAGTGTGGAACATTGGTGAATGTTATGTATTATTGATGCCTTATAAGTGATAATTCTCCCCTGAGCTCTAGCTGAGGTGCTGTGATGCGGGATCCCGATCAGTAATAGAGGAAGTAGGTCACAATCTCTTGCCCTTTGTTTCTCTCTGAATAGTTTTCTTGGATGTGCAGATACTTTCTGATGTTATTCATCGATAGGTGCTTTTCCTCTAGCTTGCTTTAGGATACCTTCTGAATCAAAGTAATATTGCTGTAATAATGCTGATGTTTTTAATAGCAGGATTTTTCACGAAACTAAAATCAGCATCATTTGAAGTGAAGATTTTTTTAACATGTTAAAGGAATAATAGATATCTACTCAGAAAACAATTCCAGAACTGCAGTGTTTCACCTATTCTCTCATTTAAGGATTATTTCAGTATGAGTTATGACCCATAGCCTATTGCTGTTGGGCTTGAAGAGCATAAGCTTTGAAGAATTTTGTTTTGTTAGTCTTCAGAACAAATGAAATACAACCATGTTGGCTTGGAGCTTTAAGATAAAATTTCAGTGACGTAGTAAGCTACTAACCTTGTTTAAAGCTACAAGCTAAGAGGAAGATGTTGGCACTCTTAGGCAGGACATGAGAAAACTGGATTTAGTTTGGTGCTCTTTCACAGGCTTCTGTGAGACCTCATGCCTGTATCTCCAAGTGTTTAGATGCCCAACTCCTCATAGCAAAATTCATAAGCTGACTAAATACTTTGTTGGAGATTTGAGTGTAATTATGTACAAATCAGTTTTCCATCTGAAGAATCAAATGAAAACTACTTTATTCTTCCATAGGGCTGTTATACACAGAGCAGGTCAGAAGGAATCTCCTTTCAAACACTTTTTACCTTTATTGACAATAAAGTCTCACGGAAATGTTATCCACAGGAGTCCAGAAGCTGCTGACTGAGACTGGGCAATTTGTTAGTTTCAGATCTATCTCCACTGATTAGAAGGTGAAAATTAATTAGTCCCCATGGCTTCAGTGATGACAGCAGGGAGACAGAGGGCTATGAACAGATGGTTGTAAATGACCTAGTTACTGCTGCCTGAAAAGTCACGCAGTTGAATCTTGTAAAATGATCTTGTAGAATTCTACCCTGTTGTGAGCAGAAATTCACATATGCAGCCTCTCTATGGTGGCTTAGATACCAAAACATATTTTGCAATTGCATTTTAGGTAGGAGCTCAAATGTGGTTAATTTATACGACTCAGCTAAAGAGCAATGACACATTTAGGAGTGTTACTCAACCACTTGCACCCATCCTCTGTTCACTTTGAGAAGAATCATTTCATGTTCAGACAGAAGGCATGGAAATAGCCAGTGTATTTTATATTTGGGAAGGGAAATATAATTCCCAAACAAGATTTTTGCAAAATTTTATTTTCCTAGAAAACCTGGTGGGGAGGGGGAAAGGAGCTGAAATTAAACATGGGGATGTTAAGTTCATTAATGACTGTCTTAAGCACAGATGTTGGTGGAAAAGCTCCTATAAGATTACTTAACTTTTCCAGGAACCTCATTCGTTTTGTTAGACCTTCTAATCCCAGTTCATTAAAGCTCTTAAATGCATGCCTGGCTCCCACTGAGTGCAGGTAGATTGAGTGTGTCAGACAGTAACTCAACCTTATGTTAAATTAGGATATCACACAATTTTTTTTCACCTGTTTTCTTACAGTTTTTTTATAAACTTTGAATTTCTTGTAGTACTGTTGGCTGTTTCTAAAGGCTTTCCCTCAGAAGCCATCTTTTGTGTTTGTGCAGTAGATTTGATGTAGCTGAACCCAATTCTCTTTACAGGATGTTTTAACAGAAGGTCTTAGGACTTGCTTTTTGTTAGCTTGTTGTTCAGCTTTTTCCTAAATTCACATCCCCAATGGGAATGTGTCACCTTGTAATTCTTGGCCTTATTCTGTTGTGGGAGTTAAAAACTATTTGATTTTGAACAAGAATTTATTTTCTATAAGAAAACGTATTTGTACGTGAAGCTAGTTTCCATTTTAAAAGCACTTTAATAGAGCCTTGGGAAACATATTAAAAAAAAATAATGAAAATGCTACCTTGTCAGATCAGCATAGTCTTCCACATACTTCGTTATGAAAGAAAAGTCAAGATTGATTATGCAGGTTTTATCAGTAGCAGTGCTCAAGTAACTCTAGTTCAGGAGTAAAAGCAGCTTCCCCTCACAATTCCTGTGCCTAAACCACAGAGCTTTATCACATTAGTTCTCTGCTATTGATGGCTGTAATCCTCAAACACTGCTGCTAAATTTCAGTTTTCAAAGATTACTTTTTTTTTTTTTACTGACAGAAGATTTAATTCTGAAGTAGTCTATATTTTAGTGTATACATTCAATCATTTATTATTTGTTATGCTCTTCTGAGTATTTAAACTCCTTAAGATCTGTTAAATGCAAGATTCTGTTGAATTAATGTAAATAAGGCTGTGAAGAAGCAAATGTTGGTCTCTTTTTGTGGAAAAGCTTGTGTAAGTAACTACATTGGGATTTTAAATGTAAAATACTGGAGAACATAATGACTGTGAAAAACAATCACAGAGATAACTGTCAGTTCTTGTCAGATGTTTAAGGAGACAAGATGAGTGGCTGATTTCATTACTTGTGCTATGAATAGAGGTTAAAATATTTACTTGACCAAATACAATAGGAATATTGTGCAAGTGGTAAAAGCTCAGATTTGTGCTTCACAATTCCTGTTGCACCAGACAAGGCATTTACCATCTGAATAGCTCCAGCTTTTAGCCTGTAAATTTGAATAATATTAATATACAACTGCTCTCATGGATGCTCTGCACTTTTTAATTAAACAGACCAAGAAACACTGTGCGGTACTGGCAGGAAAACTGTTGGCTATAAGACTGAAGAGCTGAATGAAATCTTCTGAGTGTAGTCAGAAAACAAACTAGAGTAGACCCTTGGTACTGTGAATATTAAATAAAAATTCTGATCTTAAATGAGGATTACCTTAAAAATTAGCATATCAAATCATTTTGTGGCAGAGCTTTCCTCTTTTGAGGAAAACAATTGATGCTGTGGAGCAGGCCCCTTGGGTCAGATTTTTAAGGTAAATTTTGGTATCCAGCTCTCTCTGGTATGAAGGATTCATTCTGATTTTCTTCCTTTGCTTAATAGCAAATAGTGCCAAGAAGCTCATTCAAATGTACTCTATCAGTACATGTATTATTCTAGGAAAAGCATATGCATTATTGATAAAGAGAAAATATTGCCTTTTTTTTTTTTCAGCCTCAGGTAATGTTATAAGATGTAATATTGTAAACATAGAATTCAGGCCACTAACCTCAGATGAAATAATCAAACAAAGTAAGAAAAGAAACAAACAAAAAACCTAAAAAAAGTTATAGAAATTATTCTCCTAATAAATAAAGTACTAAAGTAGTTATGACAGCATATTTGAAGCGTATTGAAAGTGGAAAAGACAACAAAATGCAAGATATACCATCCAAGTCAAACATAATCACAGAATTCAAATCAACCAAAAAAAAATCTTTCTGAATCAAAATGGTGAGACTAGTCAGGTAGGGTTTTATTCTGTCTATTGCTACGTAAGTGGCACATAATGTTTGTAGACCAAGGCCAGAACTCAGACACTGTATGTTCTTAGCCCCTTCTTAAAGACATAACAAATTGTCTTCTGGAATAACACAGGAATCATAAATTACTATGCAAGATGTTCAGGAAGGAGGTGAAAGCAATTCTTCATTTACTCTGCCAGCTCTGATGCATTTTCTCTCAATTTTTTTGTCTAAGGAAAAAATGTATGCTGTCACGTGGGATATATTTTCATCTAATAGTGGGTTATATTTAATATACAGAGTGACTATTCTTCTTAAAAATACTAGATGGTGATGACAATTTCTATTGGCAAAGTATAAGATTCTGTAGTGTGGGAATTCACCCACATCCTGTAGGGGAAGAATAAGGGAGTTGCTTTGAGATCTTCTGGCTTTTGTGCCCATGGAGGACTTTGTGGCTCCTTGGATTCAGAGCACAGACATATTGACAAATGTGTGGTGATCTTGTAGGTACGCTGATAGGGAAGGAGAGGTTAAGCAACTCTTTCTTTAATAGAGCAAATTCATGCCTTAAGCTGTCTGAATTCAGTGTTAACTACGGAGGGGCTAATTAATTTCAAATAAGGTTCGAAGCAGCTGTCCCATAGCTCAGGTTACATGTCTGTTGAAGCCTGAGCCACTGTTTTGTTTTAAAATGTATGAATAATTTACTTTTCACCCATTCTATTGATCTACTTTTCCTAGGTCTCATTCCCTCTAAGATGGGCGCTGTGGTTGAATGCCATGATGCTACAGACTG